CGAACCGTTCTCAAAACAGCCGGAGTGTTGCGTGACTGGTCTTAGCAGCCAGCCGGAATCTCCGACGGAAGCGAAGGAGAGACAGCATTATTGCTTGTCCGAGTCTCGGCCAGTCGAGGTTGAGCTCATCGAGCTATCCTTTTCATCGCCTTTAACCCGTCCAGGTCTCTGGTAGACAGGGTCGTCTCGATGCCATCTCACAAGCGCGCCCTTTCTATCTCACCTCACATTCACCACTCGATGCCCCGCGTCTTCACCACCTTGTCTCCCGGGCGCTGATATCTACTCTCTTTCCCAGCTATCTCTCACCTCACCATCCTCCATCTCAGAATTCATCATCAAAATGCCTCACGCAACCGAGCCCCCCGCGCCCGACGCGGAGGATACCGCCTTCGAGAATGTGATGCGACAGATGAACGGCCCCTTCGGAGAAGGCGACATGTCGTTCGATTTCCTCTCCCGCGACTTGGAACCCGGCGAAAAGGCAGACGACGCGGTGGACTACGAAGATTTCGATGACGACGAGCTACCCGAAGAAGAAGAGGGAACCGGATTGCCCGCCGAAAATGGACTCGGGGAACAAGAAGACGACGCAGATAAAGGCTTGTTTGAAGCGGAGGAGGATGATCTCTTCGGTGGCCAGGAGGACGAAAATCAACAACCACCGCGCGATGAACTGGACGACCTATTCGGCGATGGCCCCTCTTCTCCCCCAGCGGAACATGCCGACGCAACACGAGATTTGTTCTTCGAGGAGGAAGGTGAGAGTGCGAAGCCAGCAGAGGCTCCGGAGCCTGTCGAATCCGCGCCCGCGCAGCCCGAACCCGTGCCGATGGACGAAGACGAGGACGAACCTATGCAGGAAGATGAGGCCTTGAGTCCGACAGCGGAGGATATGGACCCGGCTTCTCTTCGCGCCTGGAAGCTCCAACAGGCTCTGTTTGCTATGTCGTCTTATGGTCCGGAAAACGTGCCTGCGCCGCCAGAGAATGTCGAGGAGCTGTTGCAGTCGCTGTTCCCAATGTTCGACAAGAATGCTCTTCCGCGTTTCCTTGAGCTGATCCCCCACAAGAAGGCCTTCTTTGTCGGAAAGCAGCCTCTGAAGCCCCCGAAGCCGGTCATCCCTAACAAGGTGAATATCGAATTGGCTCATGACCAAGAGCGATCGTTCAAGTCTGGAGGCCAGTCGCTCAAACGTTCGCTGGAGTCGGAGCATTCCGGCGTGGTTCCCGTCTTGGAGGCGGCCCAGGAGGAGGAACAGGAGATCAAGGAAGAGTTTGATCAGGACACAGATACGGAGGAAGTGCTCCCTGGGGGTATAACCCATCATGACCTTCGTGTTGTCTGCGCGGACTGGGATGTGAGGGATGACTTCTCCATCATGGACGTTGAGGAGGCGGAGGTCAAAGAAGCCGATGTTGATATGGAAGACGACTGGCTTCTAGAAACCACTCGCCCCGCGAAGAAACGGAAAATTGGAAGAGATCCGCTTGAAATCGTCGCCTTGTCCCATATTGATGTACCAGTGATTGACGACCCGCAACAAGCCACTTCCCGCATTGCTCAAAAGGTGACCGTCGACATGAACGATCCTCATATTCTCCTTGACGAGCGAGGAGCGGAGGCTGCTGCGCAGAAGCCAAAGGCGCTGGGTGCTCTCAAGCGGGACGAGCTGGATGCCAGTGTCACCAAACGTCTGACCTCACGTTACAACATTTCGAACGACCAGGCATACGATATGCTGAAACAGAACCATCAGAACAAGGTTCGCAGTACCCTGGGTAACGTTACCTTGGAGCACAGTATGCCTGCTCTGCGTCTGCAATGGCCTTACTACAAGACCGAGCTGTCCAAGGCCGAAGCGCGTTCTTACCATCGCCCTGCTCTCTCTTTCCGGCCTGGACAGACCTGTTGGTTCAAAAACCCGGCTCATATTAAACGAAAGCACCAAAAGGGCAAGGACGTCAAGCAACTTTACGATTCTACAAAGTCGCTCTCTTTGGCTGACAACTCCAACGTTCTACTGGTGGAATACTCCGAAGAGGTTCCACTCGTGCTGTCGAATTTCGGTATGTCAAATCGGATTATCAATTACTATCGGAGAAAGAGCATGGAAGACCCCACTCGCCCCAAGGCCGAAATTGGCGAAACCGCGGTTCTCCTCCCCCAGGATAAAAGCCCCTTCTCCATCTTCGGACACGTGGATCCTGGCGAGGTGACGCCGGCCATCTCGAATTCTATGTATCGTGCCCCATTGTTCGTGCACGAAGCGAAGAAGACCGACTTCTTGATCGTGCGTAGCAGTACTGGCTCTGGTGGCAGCGATTATTACATCCGTAACATCGAGAACCTCTATGTTGCCGGTCAACAGTTCCCGTCGGTAGACATTCCTGGACCCCATTCACGAAAGGTCACAACGGTGGCCAAGAACCGGATGAAGATGCTGGTATACCGCCTGTTGAAAAAGAGCCCAGACCTTCGGCTCTCTATCAGCGATGTCACCGCGCACATCCCAGGAACTAGCGATATGCAAAATCGACAAAAAGTCAAGGACTTCCTCCAGCACGACAAAGACTCCAAGTACTGGGTGCCGATGGAACCTGTGCCAGAGCAGGACGTGATTCGGTCATGGGTCCAGCCCGAGGACGTTTGTCTGCTTGAATCCATGCAGGTCGGTCAGCAACATCTGCACGATACTGGTTTTGGCAATGATGCTGAGAAAACCGGCAATGAAGGCGAGAAGAAGGAACGGGAAGACGAAGACAGAGATGGCGACGAGGAAGGGGAGAGCTTCGAGCAACAGATGGCACCTTGGAAGGCAACCCGCAATTTCCTCCTAGCATCGCAGGGCAAAGCAATGCTCAAGCTACACGGTGAAGGTGATCCTACGGGGCGCGGCGAAGGCTTCAGTTTCATCAAGACTTCAATGAAGGGCGGCTTCAAGGCGGTTGGCGAGAGTGTGGAAGATAAACTCGATGCCCAGCGGCTCAAGGAGCTCGGAGGCCACAGCTACAATGTTGCCCGGCAGCAGAAGTCATATGAAACGTCCATCCGACGCATCTGGGATTCCCAAAAGGCCAGTCTGTCTTCAACAGTCGAACATTCGGACGAGGAAAGCGACATTGACCGCGAGGAAGAGGAGGAGTTCGGCAAGCCGACCCCAAGATCAGAGGCTCCCACTCCTGCTCCTTTCCGCCGTGACGACGAGACGATGAGTCAGTTCAGCAGGATGAGTATGCCCGCCGACCAAAAGGGCAAGGTTTTGCGCATTATGCGGACGCTCAGAGACGAAAAGGGCCAGCTCTACCAGAAAGAACAAACGATCTGGGATCCCCGGGTTATTCGCCACTACATCCAGCATCGGCATCGGGTGGAGGCACTGACCACCAAGTAAGCACACCCCATCGACCTCTAACATTTATCAGACTAACCGACCTTCTTAGACTTGAGTCCCTTCAGCCAACGGGCGACAAGGAGATCGACGCTCGTAACAAGAAGCTGTACGTTCAGAGAACACCAAACACTAACAACCTCCCCCACCCCCTATCCCCTCCAAAGACCAACTCACAATCTAATCCCCCACAGTCTGGAAGCCGAACTCAGCCGTCTCAACCGCAACAAAGAACGACGCTTCGCTCGCGAGAAGCAAAAGGGCGCAGCCCGCGCATCCGCAGGCGACTCACCGGCCGATGGCGGCAAATCCGCCGGTACACAACGGAAGTGTGCTAACTGCGGCCAAGTTGGCCACATCAAGACAAACAAAAAGTGCGTATGCCATAAATCAGGTCCCTCCTTTGGATTTCCAAACAACCCTTCAGATTTCGATCTCCCTTTCTTTACCAAGAACCCGTAGTCCTTTCCAGGGATCCCGTACTGTCAGGTTCGGCTTCATAATCTCCTGGTGCTAGCCCTTCTCAACCCAGGTCGAGGTCCCGCCGACTACTATGGCCCAAGAGACAGAGGACTATCCCCTTTACCCTACCTACCCTACACCTCCCCCACACATCATACCCCCTTCTCCCTAACAGCAGTTTCTCCTACTCCCCACACTGCAAGGATTGATCTTTTCTTGCAACACATGCATTTGACACAAAAGCGCAAACAAAAACACAAACCATGCACAACAGCAACAGAAACAAAAGGGAAAATACACAAACAAGCAGCGCGCTAACCAATATCCACCAATTTCTTCTCGCCTACAGACTTTGTCCCCTTCTCAACGGTACCATGAAACCTGAAGATCGTGTCACCGATTCCGCCTTCGCGATGGGTGCTCCGCCCGCGCTGTGATTCATACATCATTCCGCCTCCTTCCTCCACGATATACCTATCTCACTCTTCTCTTTCCCTCCCCTTCTTCTCCCTCTTCGGCCGTCGCCGTACACGTACGCAGAAAGACCACCTCTCGTGCCGCTAATTCATATATTACTCTCCCTCCCTGCCTCTCTCGTGATACCCTACCTTTTTCTCGACTCCAACATGCCTACATACCGACTCGAACTTGCGTCTGTTTTCGCTGGTATGCCTAATTCTTTCCATTCAAGGTAAAGCGACACTTCGATACATGTGGGTGTTAGAATACAGCTTTTTTTCAAGTTCATACTTTGCTTATTTTGTTCGCCTTGCAATATTGCATTGGGTGGATTATTGAGGGTCGCTTTTGTCAGACTGACACTTACAACTGGAGTTTCAAGGCGACGGGGATGGATGGTTTGATGTGTTCTATGATGTCTGAGTTATGAAAAATGGAAGATACCTTTCCTTTTCCTTGAAAAATTTTATTGGCACTGGACATTGCAGTGAAAGATAACATGTGCATCTGTCATGCAAGATAGTCAATAGTACGTCATAGCCAGACAAGTGTGTTCCGTATCGATAGGACATTTAGGCCAAAGTAACAATGAGAGGCAAGAATACGTTTCGAAGAATACTTCCTGGTTTATGACAAGGTGGTGAATGAACAGCTCTCTAACCGTACAACTCCGACAGATGGCCTCGTGTCAGTAGTCCTCGCCCGCGGTCTGGGGCCAATGCCATCGCAACGGCATGGGGTCGGCGATAGGTATATCCCAAGAATGCTCCCCTCTTGCGCATCTCCAAGACCGTCATGCGTAGTTTGCGGTCTCTCAGCAACTTGTCCCGAGGTCGCTTCTTGTCCCTTCCCTTGCGGCGGTTTTTCTGAGGCGGCTTGCTTGCGACGGGACTCAGCAGGCTGCCAATATCCTGATATTGGGGTGGGTCTCCCCTATTTTGGTGGCGCTCGTCTCGCTCGTCTGCCTCGCTAGAGGGCTCGGCATGCTCTGCGTCTGAGGCTGCAGAGGCCTCATCGTGACCATGCTCATATCCTGCGTCATCGAAGTACCGGGTATCTTCCCAACCTTTGACCTTGGGGATGAACGGAGGCATTGACTGGTGGATTTCATTCCAGTTGATACAGCAAAAAAAAGGATGGCTCTTGATGTCTGTTGCGTCATTGGGGTATACATAGAACCCGCGGTAGTTTTTATTGCGAGGGTCCATACTGTAAAGGGGATGCTTGGCTGCCAGGCGAAAGGTGACGGAGTCATTCACGCGATACTTGTTGGAGGACAAGCGATGTTCTTTCTCCTGCAGGAGATTGTTTATCAAGTCGATTGCTTCAGCAGAGACGAGCTTATCGGATGGTCGATTTGGGAAATGTAGGGTTTGGAGATGATGCTTCGAGCACTCAGTCATCCCTCACCTGCACACCAGCGAAGGGGTGCTTACATGGATTTTTAACTTCGTCTTCTGGCGATCATCCGAAGCAAAGGGAGTAAAGCCATACAGGCACTGGTGCCGATGTCAACGTCTGCAGCCTCCTTAGCGACAGGGTATGTCTTACCTCGTATAGGATGATGCCAATACTCCACCAGTCACATCGCCCGTCGTACAGCTCTCCACGAACCACCTCGGGGGCCATGTACTGGTTGGTCCCTACGATGCTTCCAGCTAACCGCCGTTTCTGTGTGCGATCGCGCCATCCTAGGAGACCAGCAGTAGGGGGCGTCCATCCGGAGTCATCAACCGGTCCCGGATCCAGCCCACTGGAGGACTCCGCCATCCTTTTCGCCTCGGTCTGGTCAAGGTCATCACCGTCTACCCGGATCCCGAGCCGCTTGAGGAGGGTGTGGCGGTGGTCATTGTAGTAGACCTGATCGTGTGCCCAATGCCCGTCAAAGGCCAGACCAAAGTCCGATATCTTCAAGTGGCCCGAGGCCGAGATCAGAAAGTTGTCTGGCTTGACATCGCGGTGGATCCAGCACAGTCGATGAGCCTCTTCAATGCAGAGAATCATCTCCGCAATGTACCATCGGGCAACTGTTTCGGGCAACATGTTTCGACGCATCAGCAAGCCGAGGAAATCCCCGCCCACCATGTAGTCCATGATGAGGTAAAGGTGGTTCTGATCCTGGAAGCTAGCTATCAAGGGTACAATCCAGCGAGATTTGGCCGACGCCACCAGGAAGTCTCTTTCGGCTCGCAAGTGACCTTCCTGGCTGTTACGGATCATCGCCGACTTGCGAATAACCTTCATCGCGAAGACATCCTTCTTCACGCCAGTCATGATTCTGCGTCGGCTGCTCTTGGTTCCATCATTTGCAGACCGAAGGGAATCAAGCCCATATGCTCGAGAGTTTGTACCTTCATTTCTCCAGCGCAAGAGCTTGTCTTCCGAGTCGCCGTCATGGTTTGTGTCCTCTGTTTTCTCTTCCTTCACGAGGCGCACGACCCCAAAGCTACCCCGTCCAAGCACTTTGATTACCTCAAACCCAGCGAGAGACACAGTCGTATCATGGCTACCGCCGCCATGCGACCTACTCTTGAGGACGCGGCATTGGCGGAGGTAATGGCGCTCCTGGGTAATCCAGTTGTCCCAAATGCGTGCTCGTTCTTCGGGGCTCAGTGGCAGTCCATACATGTATTGTTCCAGCTCCTGGCGACGCTGTGAACGAGGGTCTGTCCCGCAGAAGACATTGTTAAAGTAGGTCTCGAAGAAAACCTTGGCATTGGCAGCAGCTTCGACTGTAACAATCGACGGCGACGTCCCTGAAACTTCGGTCGAGCTCAAAGCTTCTTCCACCGAATGGGGTGAAGGAGAAGAATGTAGTAAAGCTTTGACTGGACCGCCAAGGGCCTGTTTCGAACCCCGTGATGGGTCCTCAGAAGTGGGGGGAGTGGACTGTGTACCCAACGGCGATACACTGCTTATGGGAGATGTCGACGGACTCGAGCTGTCATTGGGGCTTTCCACCAGTCTGCTTGGACCTGGTGAGGAAGCTGGATAATGCACTGGCATTATGTTAAGCGGCGAACGAAGATGCGAGCGACGAATGACAGTGGGATTACCGAATGTCGTGGACAGTTTTGTAGACACCATACTAGTCAGAACAGCGGGCGTTGACTTGCTTCGTTTGACCGCGGCTACTGAACCGCTCTGTAGCTCAGGCATCTCCGACTTCCGTGCTCTTGCTGTATTGCCTGATTGTTCTGGAGAGACTGCCTCCCTCGGAGTGGCAGATGTCATTAATGTCTCAGGCAATGGAGTCGTACAGCTGTGGGTGATGCAAGTCAGCAGGCCCTCACGGCCTTCCTCTTCCTCCATGGCGGTGCTGCTAGATGGGGCTCGGATGTCAGCTGGAAGAGAATGAAAAGACTGTGATGGGTTGCTCTCGCTCGAAGGTTTCTGCGGGGCAGTAGTTTCACGCGTGGTCACTGTTTTCAATACTATGTCCCATGTTAGCCTTCAGATGTTTGTTTCACCAAAATCCACAGCCCTACCACCGCTGGGGCCTCGAAGCCCCAATAAAGAGAGGATTCTAGAGCTCCGTTGCTTGATGCGATCCCGGATGCCGTTGCTTTTGTGTTGGGCTACCTGGTACTCCGCATCGGCTGAGATGGTTGAGGCGCTGCCGGAGAGTTCCACAGTGGCCTCCATGGTGAGGTCTGGGTGTGCTGGGCTGCCACGGGGAGTGGAAGGGATTGTGTCGGGCGTGAGATGGACGATCATCACGATGGACGATCCATGGACTGAGTGTGTCAGGCCAGTGAATAAATCATGCGCTTCCTGAGGAGGGTTGATATAGTATCTTAGCGAAAGAGAGTGGTATGAATGGAAAAGATTGGGGTTATGTGCGGTATTGGTAAAACCCCAGAGAGCAATGTTGGAGTCAGATGCTGCATGTGTCAGTCTATCATCTTTATGGACAGATGAGAGTGATAGTGAAAGTTATTACAAGGCAGGGTGTTCTACGGCAGGCACAACGGGACGAAGACAACGCACATTTAGGGCAGGAACAGAGTAAGGTCTACATGAACATCTACAGATCCACTACGATAGCAAAAACGGCACCCAAATGAATCAAACCAAACACTTTTTATTAGACAAAGATAGTTGGATGGCTTGCAATATCCTCATCCCTGCCAATATGCATCGGAAGGCTGTGCAAGAGAAAAACAAGTCGGATATCACAGGACTGATGTCAGATTGAACGAACCCCCAAACACCGGTGAAGCAAACCCAAATGGAGTAACAGACACAGACAGCTAGATGTTAGTAGGGGAACTCAGATCTATTTGATCTCGAGAAGCTTGACGTCGAAGATCAGCTTGGAGTTGGCGGGGATGCCGGGAAGAGCACGCTTGCCGTAGGCGAGGTGAGGGGGGATGCTGATGCGGCGCTCACCACCGACAGCCATGCCGGCGACACCGATGTCCCAACCCTTGATGACCTCGCCCTTGCCGAGCTTGAAGGTGAAAGGCTTGCCCTTCTTGTTGGCTACACAGAGAGTTAGCACCAGAACTTTCTGCTCTTATTATAGGACTTGGGACTTACCATCGAAGACCTTGCCGTCCTCGAGCTTGCCGATGTAGCGCATGGCAACGGTGTTACCAGCCTTGGCGGCGACACCCTGACCCAGCTTCTTGTCGTCGATCTTGACGCCCTTGACCTCCTTGACACCCAGGGTGCCGGTGGACTTCTCGGCAGGCTTCTGCTGGGTGGAGCCAGTCGGGCCCTGCTCAAGGTTCTTGGCGAACTGGACCTTCTTGGCCTCCTTGCCCTCCTTGGCTTCCTTCTTCTCCTCAACGGGGGCGGCCTCGCCGTTGTTCTTCTTCAGCTTCTTCTGCTGCTTCTTGCTGAGGGCGGGCTCAGGCTTGGCCTCCTCGGGCTCAGCAGCGCGCTTGCCCTTACCCTTGGTCTGCTTGGACTCAACGAGCTTGGGGGCTTCCTCCTCCTCGCTGTCGACCTCGGTGATACGGGGGTTCTCCAGGTCGTCGAGGTCATCGCTCTCGTCATCCTCGCCGATCAGGTCCTCCATGTCGAGCTCATCCTCATCGGGAGAAAGGTCGTAGTCCTCCTCATCGGACTCCTCGCCATCATGGTCATGGTGGTGGTCGTCGGTGGGCATGACATAGTTACCGGTCAGGTAGATGGTGTGGGTACCGGTAACCTTGAAGAAGACGGGCTCCTCCTCGTTGACAACGATGTCGAGAGGCTGCTGGCAGTTCTACATGGGGGGGTTAGCGCGCATACTCGCATTAGAAGATTCTGAAGTTTCGCATACCTTCTCGGGGTCCAGGGTACAGATGACAGTCTCGTCAAGCTCAAGACCCTCATCGGACTCGGCATCAGACTCCTCGTCATCGTTGGCGGGGGCCTTGCCCTTGATCAGCTTGGAGATGGCGGCCTTGAGGTCGAACTCGCCCTCCTCGTCATCCTCATCCTCGTCATCATCCTCATCCATGGCATCCTCGAGCTCCTTGCGAGCGGCAGCCAGCTTGAGCTTGCGAGCCTTCTCCTTGTCGCTGGGACCACCGTTGACCTCCTCGTCGTCCTCGGAATCCTCATCCTCGTCATCCTCCCAGTCCTCGTCATCATCGTCCTCGCCCTCGAGGTCGAGACCAGGGGGAGCGCGCACAAGCTTCAGGGTAGCACGGGGGCGCTTGTTGGAGTCGAAACCGTCCTCGTACTCGGGAGCCTCATCGGGGTCAATGGCAGCCATGCTGACACGGAACTGTCGCAAATGGTTAGAAACGGGAATACTATGGGCTCAATGGCTGCAGATTTGGCTACTGACCATGGCAGAGAACTCCGGAACGGCGGGGATCAGAGCGCCATTGGCGGGGACGCGCAGGGCGTAGACAGCAACGGGCGTAACACCGGACATCTTGACAAGAGATTATACAGATGCGAACAAGATAATAATAATAAAGAAAAAAGAAGATGAAAAATCAGACCAAAGAATGGATGGTCAAGAAATGATGCAAGGGAAAGAAAGAAAGATCGTCTACCCGGAAAAGCGTGGTAAGGACGAGGAAAAGCAAGTGAAGGGGAGAAGAAGAGGAGGAAGAAGGGAAAAGTTTTGATGCTGGCAGACCTCCCGCCGCTTCGATGGCAACCGTTTCCCGCTGCTCTTATTTTTTTTCTGCTACTGACTTTTTCCCGCAGCCAATCAGAGACATCAAAAAGGCGGATCTGCCGCGGCTCACCGCTGTGGATCCTGCCACGTCACGTGGTAAAAGCTCACCGCTTTCTACATCACATGATGAGCTGATTTCCTGTTTGGGATAAGAACATTCCAGTCACTTCAATTAATCGATCGATCACCACAAGAACGTGTGCCAGACCCCATTGGTTCATGCACACTGCTGATCCACTCAATCCAATGCCTTTTTTACTCGCAGTCAAATATTGCCAGTGGTGACCGCTCAATGCTGTGGTTACGGTAATTTGGCCCTCCTAGTTATTCCTATCACTCGTACATGCATACTGTGTATGAGAACATGGCTCTCTATCTCTTCTCGAAATAAGATGAGATCATTCAGTGTCTATCAAATTGGTATATTGTGGGAACATCTTGTACTGGACGTATAGTAATCGCAACCTTGAGTTCAAAGACTAGTCGGCTAGTATACTTATATAACCTACTAGGTCCACCCCTAGTCTTTATATATATCTACGCCAGCACCAGCTTGTGGCGGATCGTGGGATTACTAAAGTACCGTGATAATATTTTGACTAATATAATTGGCATAGTCTACTCCACGCAGTATCTGAGCAGCAAGGAACTGTAGCAATGAAAGCATACTATAAACCGAAGGGACTGCAAATAAAATTCAACCCTAACTGATATACTGTGTATTCACTGATGTCCGATCCTACTACGAAGTAAATAGTCTAGATCTTGCATCTACTTCACACTTTAGTCACATATCCATAACATAATCATCTCAAAACAGCCAATTCCAGCGAACTCAACTGAAAAGCACATTTACCACTGACTGATACCACATATACTACTACCTCAAACCCACGCAACCTCCCTAAACCACTCCACCATCTTGCCCACCAACCCCCCCTCCAATCCATCCACACTCAGCCCCCTCAACCCCTCAGCCCTCTCCCTCGCCTTGTCCGTCACAAACTCCAACCCCCTAAACGGCTTCTGACTCCCATACTTTCCCTCCCAGAACCCGACCAACTTGACCGGCGGATTCCTCTCCGGATCCGCCACATCTCTAACTCGCCGAATCCACTCCCCGAACTCCACATCCTCAAACTCCAACCCGGCAGCCCTTAGAGCAGGAAGTAGATCCTCTGTCCAATGGAACCTGTACGGGTTCAGAATATTAAACACCTCCACATCATCCACCCCCTTCTTCCTCCCCTCTCTTTCCCCTTGGTGAAGCGTAATATCCATCACTGCCCCAGCAACAACATCAACCGGCACCCACCGCATCCTCTCATCCAATCTCGGCAACGCCCCCACCGTAACCGCAGCCCTAAGCATCAGCGGAATCGCCTCCGTGGCATTCCATACCCCGTGCTTGGTGTCGCCGATGATTTGTCCGATACGGAGGACACGGGCATCCAGGTAGGGCGTGGCGTTGGCGCAGATGTGTTCTGCGATGAGCTTGGACTGCGCATAGCCCATGGATTGCGCGGCGGTGAGGGAGTCCGGGAGGGATTCCGGGATGGGGGAGACGGTGCTGTTGACGACGCTGCTGACGGAGGAGCAGAAGTTGAAGGTGGCGGGTTCGGGGCGCTGGGCTTTTAGGGCTAGAGTGAGGAGGTTGTGTAGGGTGGGGAGAGTGTCGTGTGCGAGACTGCTGAGTTGGAGGTTGAAGTTGACGGGCCAGGCGCAGTGGATGATGTCTGTGGTTTCGGTGAGAAGGGTGTTGTAGGTTTCTTCCGGGAGGGACAGAGTTGGGTGGGATAGGGCTGGGGCGGGGAGGGCGATCAATTTGGCTTTGGAGGAGGATGAGAGAGGTGTATAAAGATGGCGGGCGTGGAGGGCGTCGTGGAGGCGCTTGTAGGCTTCGATGGGAGAGGAGGCGCGGATGAGGCAGTAGACTTTGTTCACGGAGGGGTTCTGCGCGAGTTGATGTGCAACGTGGCTGCCGAGGGAGCCGGTGGCGCCGGTGAGAACCTGTGATTGTTAGGAGGGGGGACTTGTTGAGATGGTTAAGGTGACTTACGACATAACGACCGGGAAGGTCATTGGGATGTGGAACGTGGGGTTCAAAGTGGCTGAATTGTGAGATGAGTGCACGCATCTGTTCAGGGATCGGCTGAGAATCTGGAAGGGCTTCTCCGGACTGTACAGCGGCTAGGAAACGGGCGAGCACGGCAATAGTGGGCTGCTCGAAGGCAATGTTGAGCCCAAGTTGTTGGCCCTTGGTGTCCAAGTTCTGGACGAGCACAGTGCGTAGTTGGCTGGCTTGTAGGGAGTCCATGCCCAGTGAGAAGAAATCGGCGTCATCTGTCAACAGGCTGGTGTCCTTAAGGGGCAGAATTTGCAGAATTTGCTTCTTAAGGAAGTTCCTCAGTTCAGGCTCAGACAGAACTAGCGTGCCAGTCATGGCGTCCACAGCGGCGTAAACCTCTTCAATCAGAGGTTGGAAGTTCTTGTAGAAGGCTTGACGGATGATGGTGCCCTTGTCAGTCCGAGGGTAGGGAGTGTCTGCAGGCAACACTCGGACCATATTCTTCGAGAGTTGTCCAAACGCAGGTAGCGCCTCGTGAGCCTTCTCAACAGCTGGCCAAATGCTGCCAATGACCTCCTCATCGGAGAGTGACTCGGTGCCAGGTGCACGAACGACAGCCAGTCCGATCTGAGCTTTGCCTGCTCCGAACGCAATGGCTTCGGCAACAGTGCTGCGCTGCCGGACTCGTCCTTCCAGGTCAAGTGGGTTGACCTTTTCTCCATTATATAGGATGATTGTATCGTCCAGACGAGCATAGTACTTGTATGCCTCCATGGTGGGATGCTTGACAAACAGGTCCTTGGTAGCGTACGAGCCATCGGGTCGGTTGGTCATGACCTTAGAGGGCCAGCCATCTAGACACACTAGCTCGAATACTCCCGGAAAGCGCTCTTCAAATCTCAAGAATTTCTTGACATAATCAGAGGGGCGGAGCCAGTCCCATCCTTTGTCTTCGCGAGGCCTGGTGGACATCATGAGCTGACCGGTTTCAGTTCTGCATGTGTGTTAGTAGAATATTCTAATGCGGTTGAGAAGCACTCACGATCCGTAGTGACTGGTGAGATGAACACCATTCTCGACTAGCAAGTTTCCTAGAGAGTCCGGGCATGCTGACCCTCCGAACATGACGGCCTTAAGCTTAGCCAAAGCGGATATTCCCTCCTGTGTCTCAGCCAATAACTTCAGCGCATAAGGGACACCGTAGAATATTTCAAATTCATTCGATCCCATAATCTCGAGCAGATACTGCCTGGTCAATGGAAGATTGGCATTGTAGAGATGCAGCTGTTTCTTAGCGTGAATTGTCCGGAAGAGACAGCTAATTCCATGATTGTGGTACAGCGGCAAAGTAACGAACCCGGACATGTTCATATGTCCCGAGTAATTCTTCAGTGCAGCAGATTGGGTGTGGAAAATAGGCTTCGGAAGTCCAGTCGAGCCACTGGAATGAATAATCCATGCGATATGCTTGGACTCGATTTTCGGGTCAAGGTGTGGGACCAGGTTCGTGTCAACATCCTCTGTAATGGGATAATGATAGTTTTCCTCAGTCGGAATCTCATCAATGACAAGCTCAGGTACCCGCTTCTTGATATCTTCAGCGGTGTCTCGGAATGAGCTGTGAATGAAAATATGTCTCGACCCGGTCTTTTCCAGTAGCGAGACGTATGCATCCACGGATATTCTGGTTGATAGGAGCAGTCCACTGTGACTCAGCTTAGCCAGGGAAAGCAGCATCACCAGGTAGTTGAGGTCAGATGGTCCCAATAAAGCGATGACTTTGGGGGTTTCAGTTGACGACTTCCGAGGCGGAATGCGATCTGATAGCACCTTGGAGACGCGGAATGCGAAGACATCCAGTTGCTGCAGTGGATAGTCCACATATTCGATGCCGGTGCTCGGATAGGAGATGATGGGCTGTGCGGCTCCAAGTGATGCACGTTGGCGAACAAGTTCGTCAATTGTCGAAGGCTCCTGGGATTCCAAAGGCAATGTGACATCGCCTTTAGACCGAGGCTCCTGTAGTGTGGGTGGTTGTGGTGCGATTGTAGAGAGCATCTTGAGTTTTGGGTCGTTGTTGTTACATAGACAAGATATTTAGTAAGCAGTATCAACCTTGAGTAACTTGGATCGATCATTGAAGAAATGTCAGCATTTAAATAAGTCCCAGATACTCTATTGTTCAATGAAGACGATGTCCGATGCCGTGATGGAGGGCTCGGAAATGCTAGTGCTGAACGGATATTTATCCGACCACTGCCTCCGCACGAACATCACCGGAGACAGTGCACTCACTCATCGAACGCCGTAGTATATAGAGATTTGCATGTTACTTATTGTGATAAAATGGGTAAATAGAGTGTGATAAAAGGTCATATTGTTGGTCTCGACTTTCAGAACTATGGTCACAACTCGAGTGAATTCAATTTGTTTTCCGGGTAGGGTTTGCACGATTGCATACTTGAGCTACAAAACAACTTTTCCGAGCAAATAATACCGACTAGTTCTGGAACTGTGAGATAAATATGGAGTATCAAGATGGGGACAGATGATGCAATAAAGGAGAAGTTTCCGAGATGACAAGAAGCATAGAGGAAAGAATATTCACAAGGCGAATGCGGGGCAGCCGATCATGGAGATCCACTGCGGATTCCTCTCCGGGGGTCATTTGCAACTATCCCACTGGCTACGGATGCATGTCCTGCCCTGACAGGATATGTGGAGGTAATATCCGCTATTTACTGACCACGTGCAAGAAAAATCCCATGGAAAAGTTCTGTCAGGCGCAGAACGGCACAGGCACCCTCATGTTATCGGTTGTTGACGTTAGCATATTTCATCAGGACTAGAATTAATTTTTCATCTCTGTGCTGATGTTGCGAAAGGCTTCTGGCATCTTTTAAGTGACGATAGCAGCTCAGAAGACCGCATTTTCTACCAGGTCTCTCGGTGACTGTTAGTAGATATGAAAGCAATTGGAATCGGCCATATTCTTGCTAGAAGATGCCAGGTCAGAAAGGCAACTGAGGGCTTTTAACCGCATGGGAAGACCACACTGGTGGTCATCAATGACGACTTCAAAGTTAGCATGGTGCTAACTGCTATGGTGTGCAGAAAGTAACTTGAAGTCTTCGGCATGTTAGCAATTCAAATACAGGCCATTGATTGACACTGGAGGCTTTATAGGAATAGCGTAGAAGGAAAACATGAAAGATGGTGGAAGACCTAGATGAGGAATTTTATAACGTGTAAAAAAAATGTATGGTATGGAAGATGTCGCGAAGTGAATTAAAGCCCTTGTGTAGCCTCGAGGTATCTCACCTTTAATGGATTTTCTCTCACCCCCAGACTATCGGAGCTGTTAACATGTCTGAGATTCTATCTCTGGTCGGAGTTCTCGAAAATTTGGTGGCGACCGGCTGCAAAATAACCGGATTTCTCGAACTACGAGCCGCGAGGACTCAGATCTTTACGTACTATGATATTATAGTGGCGAGTGTGGAAGTCTCGGGCATACTGAGAAATGTGAAGGTTATTCGCCGATGTACTGTGACACAGAAATTACTCATGGGTTGCGTTCACACATTCCGAAACTGGAGGAGAGCTCATCAGATTGACAAGGGACCCTTTGCATCCATTGTTACACAGTGGGGTAATCAGATCCATAGTAAGCTTATAGATACTTTCTGGAACGAGCTCTGGGAAGCAAAAGGTTTTATATCTGAAGCTTAGATAGCCGAACGCTTTATCCTCCAGCCAATTGTGTAAGCGGCGATGGGCTTCTGGATGGACCTAATATGCATCTTGCAGACGCCCTCCCATAGAACGTACGTCCTGGTTCGACATCTCATCTTTTCATGTACTGGAAGGAGAGCACCATGGGCAATGCTTGGGCCTCTGTAACGCAAGCTGCAACCATAGGATGCTGTGAAATGCTCGTATCTGCATCTTTCAGGCAGCATCTACACCTTTTTGCGCATCTCCGCTCGCCTAGGCAACCTCTGATGGACATCTACATCATGATTTACCACACTGTTCAATAGAGTAACATTTGAATAACTATACTGACTGCAATTGTAGTCATATATCGTCGTCACCTTTGGTCAAAGCACTTCTGGATCCCTGCCTCTGTCGAAGGCATTGTGCACACCCGCGGGTATATAATTGAGCAGTTCCTCTCGCTCATTTCTGCTCTCAATATCATGCCATCGTTTTGATCGGTGTTCGGATTCAACATATTTTATCTTTCAAAAATTTAGTTTATCATTATCAATCTTCCAACATGCTTTGGGAAAAGCCAGGTGGCGGTGAACCGGCCCAGATTACCTGGGACCTCAAGGAGCCATTGACGGTCAAATGGTCCCACGTCTCGTGAGTTTTTGCCATTATATTTCTTTATATGTCCAATTGCTTACTGGAAACAGTGGAGAGGAGAACAAGGCCTTTTGCATCTACCTCATCAACCGCGTTGACTATCCTCCAGTGACCGAGCTGGTCCTGCGCTACGCCGTCATGGGCCGAGATGAGGTTACTATTCCTCCACCCGGCCCGATGGATGTCCCTCTTAAGTATGTTATGCCTGGTATACTTAGAAGTAGACATAGTGCTAATTATCTTTTCTAGTTGCAACTACCGCCTTTGGGCTAGTGCTTGTGGAGACCCTGAGACTATCTATGCTGAGACGGAGCTGTTCTGCATTGACATTAGAGACAATGCTGATCTCTAGTTGATGCCCGAGGTACTAAACTTGCTGCAGTGCACAGGGTATCTTCGATTGTGATTTAGCTTGAATTGTTGAGAAAGTTGATGTCTACGATACGCCAATCACCGTCGGATGTCCAGTAGTGTTGACCTTTAAGCAAGAGACTGCTAGTATGTAATGATTTTATCTCCGATATTCGACCGAATCTTCCTTGTAGATGCTTTATTAATCATCAAATGAAGTAAATTTGTCATACAAAGGATGGCAGTGATTCGAGACTCGTTCTTTGATGGTGCCATAACTTCGGCCGAACTCTCGGTCCAAGCCAGTATATAGACCAGCTGTCTTCGGCAGTGTTCACTCCAGAACTACAACTTCAGTTCACACGAACCATAAGAGTATTTTACTTTTACACTTTAGCGTTTCTTCCTCACCCCAACTACGAAAATGGTCAAGGTTGCAATTGCTGGAGGCTCTGGAGGTACACTCTTCCATCGTTCCTGGTCTCACCAGTTATATCACTGACACTCGAACAGGTGTTGGCCGAGAGGTTATCGAAGCCCTTATTGCTGCGAAGAAGCATACAATCATTGTTTTGACCAGAAAGGTTCGTCATGTCCGATAACCGTAGTCAATGGAAGTGTTGTAACATTAACCAGTCTATGCAGGATACTGAAGCCCAAGAACCTACACAAGGCATCGCTTGGGTCAGAGTCGACTACAACGACACCACTCAACTAACCAAGGTTCTTCAAGGAGTGCACACCGTTCTCTCCTTCATCACCACGCAGGATGATCCCGGAAGCACCGCTCAGAAGAACCTCATCAATGCGGCTGTTCAGGCCGGAGTGAAGCGCTTTGCGCCGAGTGAATGGGCTTCGTGAGATTTTTTATCCCACTTCTACTATCATCCAAACACCAACCTAGTACAGCTCCCGCTTGGACTACCTGGACTGGTATGCCTACAAAGGCGAAACGCGCCGGTATCTCCAAGAGCTGAACAAGGATAAGAAGGTACGATCGGACAACGTTCTACCAGGCGGAACATCTAACACAACTCAATCAGGTCCTCGAGTATACCCTCTTCCAACCCGGCGTGTTCGTCAACTATCTGACCCATCCACATCAATCGGCCCGCCACCTGCCCTCAATCGCGACCCCCTTCGACTTTGCCAACCGCCGAATGATCTTGGTGGACGGGGACGATGGAACCCGTATCACCTTGACGGCAGTTCAGGATATTGCTAGAGTTGTGGCCAGAGCTGTTGAGTATGAGGGCGAGTGGCCAGTGGTTGGAGGTATTCAGGGTTCTAATATCTCCATCGGTGAATTCATTGCTCTAGGGGAGAGAGCTCGCGGTGAGTTTCTTTCCTACAACTTTACATACATGAAAATATTTCGTGACTCATTATCTCCAGGTGGGCTCCCATTTACCATTGAGCGAGTGAAGGCGGGGGACTTGGAAGCTGGGTCGTGGGAGACGTCGTGGACACCAACAGTGGATCACCCTTCCATTCCACCCGAGCAGGCGGCAGTGGCGTCGACATATATGACCAGTCGGATTCTTTTGGCGGTTAATGCTGGATCCTATGCCGTTTCGGATGAATGGAACAGTCTGCTGCCTGACTTCGAGTTTACCCCTGTCGAGAAGTTCTTGACTGAGGCGTGGAAAGGAAAGGCTTGAATATGCGATCGAGAAGGGTGATACGGATACGCAGGTAGAATGTGCTATCAAGCTTAGTAAATATAACGTGTGAGATAAGACATTATTTAGCCATGGCGTATTCTACTAGGGCTGGTGTGAGCATGGTGTTATTCCGCCGAGTTCGGGCGAATCCAACACCTTAGCCCGTGATCCTTCCGCAGAGCATTTCATCATTCCCTGCCCCCTCAACTTTCGACCGAGAGACACGAAAGTCTGCCTGATAGTGACTGACACGAATATGGCGGAGTGCTCCCAAGAGAAACGGAGAAAGGTCCGCAAGGGCACAAGGAGCTGCTGGGAATGCAAGCGGCGCAAGGTTCGCTGTATCTTCAGCTCCTCCTCCAATACCACCTGCGATAGCTGCAGGCGACGGGGATCTACATGCACCAGTCAGGAGCTCCCAGACAGCCCTATACCTACAAGCAAAGACTTGGTCGATGCCCGACTCGACCGAGTAGAGAGGATACTCGAACAGCTGGTTAACCCGGGCAGCCGAGCGCTATCTTCTGAAAATTATACCGAAACCCCTCCCAGGTTGGGTACATTGGACAGTTATGTGGACTCTAGTCGAGAAGAACAAGTGAGTCCAGTCCTCATGTGTTCATTTCAATTTTCCCATGCTGATACTTCCAGGAATCGTCCCCAGAGAACAACATCCCTGGAGGCCCGTATGAGAGTATAAACCGCGACCTTCTCGCGGCCTGGCCCAGCAAGAGGGAGCTCAACCATATCTACAATCTCCCTGTTGGCATAACAGTATATATGAACTATGAAATCTGGGTCCCTAATTCCACCTTCATAGACGACAGCCTACCATCACCCGAAGATATGCTCCAATTACCAGCACCAAACTCCCATCCCGTCCTAATCGCACGCAAACTCCTCACCCTGGCCATCTTTCTCCAAGGCATCTCTCCACCGTCCATCAAAAGCTTATCTGACCTATCTATCTCCCACCACGACATCATGACCCGCGCCGTCACCCGTGCCACCAGACTAGTAACCACAAACGACGAGCTCACTCCCTGCATCGAAGGCCTGCAATGCATCATGCTAGAAGCCCAATACCAGAACTACGCTGGTAATCTCCATCAAGCCTGGCTAGCCACCCGCCGAGCCACAGCCATCGCACAGATGCTATGTCTCCATCGTGGACTCCCCGCGTCATCTCTAAAGACTCTCGACCCAGCTACGCGCGGTAACCTAAACCCAGATTACTTGTGTTTCCGCCTTATCGAGATGGACCACTACCTCTCCCTGATGCTCGGCCTACCACCTACCAATCTCGAAGCACGGTGCCTCTGTCCTAAAGCCCTAGAAACATGCACACCCCAAGACCGCATGCACCGCATGCACTGCATTATAGCAGGCCGTATCCTCCACCGTACTGAAGCAGATATCAACAACATCTCCCTTACGAACGACATCGACCAGATGCTCCAAAACGCAGCCGCGCACATGCCTCCCCAGTGGTGGCTCATCCCAGACCTAAGGCCCAACCAAACCCAAATCGCCATCATCCAGAATACCCTCCGTCAAAACGCCCATTTCACGCACTACCAACTCCTCCTCCGTCTGCATCTTCCATACATGCTCCGCTCATCTCAAGGCTCTGCAGTGTACGACCGAAGCAAACTCACCATCATAACCGTAAGCCGGGAGATACTGGCCCTGTATATCGCTTTCCGTGCCTCGAATCCAGCGCATTATTACTGTCGTGGTGTGGATTTCATTGCCTTTGTGGCGATGACTGTGCTTTGTATTTCGCATATCGACTCATTCAGTAATATGCAGCCTGGGAAGGGAACGATAGTCAGTTTCCTCGGACATAGTCGACCAAGTGATCGCAGGATTATGGAACGGACACTTTCTATTATTGAAGATATGGTAACGTCGGGTTCTGGAACGGATGAAATTGCGGGGAAATTGGCGGGTATAATGAGGCATTTATTGGGGGTGGAGGAGAGTGCTGCTGGGGGCGTTGGGTATGTGGCTAGGGAGAATATGGGTGAGGATGGGAAGGGAGGAGGGGAGTATGATGGGAGGGTCGAAGATGGGGGGAGGAGTTTACATGTATATATCCCGTATTATGGGACGATTGGGTTTGAGAGATTTGAAGGCGTGGATATTGGGGTGGGAGAGTGTGGTGGTGAGGAGTGGGATTTACATGCGGTGGATGTGGCGCTATTCAATAGTTTATTTGGAGACATGGTGGTTCCTGATGTTGGGGAGGAGAGGTGGGAAGAATGGGTTGGTGTATAGAGATGAAGAGTAAGTCGACACAGAATTATCTGAATCTCTACGAATATCACCTGTTCCCTCCGCTCTATATCCACCATGATATGAAGATCTCTATACCCTCTATAGTCTTCTCCCGGAGGGAGATTCAAACAGCATTCCACATATCCCACCCCGAAACAAGGGTACTAACCACCATCCCAACCCCGACCCCCAACTGACCCATTTCAATCCAACCCAAAAAGGTACCAGGAATGAGCAGATCACAAGCATCAACACAGAGCATCTTCTTCAGAAGCGAGCAGCGGTTGATAGAAGGAGCTTCTTTCTTCTCCTTCTCATCCTTCGTCCTAGACGCAGATGACGCCGAAGAAAAGAGTGTATCAAAAGCAGCACCCAAAATGGAGAACCCCAGCGCATAAAACCAGAACTTATTCGCTTCTGTTAATATGGTCTTGTTGTAGGGGTTTGGGTAGATGGATGTTGCGTGTAACTTGAATGTTACTTTAGTATTGTATCATGGGTTGGATAGTAAGAGAAGGGAGCACATACCAGGGTTAAGTCTTCCAAGAGAAAGTAACATCCAAAGCAGGACCATTTACTTATTTCAATGACTGTCTTGATGACATTACCATGAGCAGAAGAAGGGCTGCCTAGCAAGGCAAATGCCCGGTTGAAGCAGTCGATGAAGTTGAAGAAGCGGAGGAAGCGTCTTGCTATTTATCCATCATTACTCACTGATCCTGATAATGGATGTGGATATCCAGTAGGATAATTGGAGGAAAACTAACTTAATGCAAACTGTGTCTTGGCGGTGTTGAATCGCGAAATGGACTCATTTTCCAGAGTGGGTATTTGCAGGGCCAGCACGCAGAAGGATTGGACGAGACGGAGGGTCTTTTCGAGGCCTGCCGTCGTGCGTGTAAAGCGGTATAAATGGTCTAACATTTTGTTTTCTTTCTATTGCGCTGGGGGTATATGTGCGGGGGTATGCAGTCTATTGTAGATGTGTTATTTGGCGGCGGTGGGTAACGACGCGCTTTAAGTACTAGGGATTAATTAGGCTATTTGCCAAGGGGCTGCTGGTATGGCGGGTACGCGATATCGGCTCGGTATCCGCTTATCTATCATATTCACCCCCATCAGAATCACAACGAGGATGATATACGTGACATGTCACATTCAAATACACACGATTGTTCAACGCTAATCTATACATCTACAACAATCACCGTCCTCCCGCAATATCCTGTCCCAGCCGGTATCCTCCGACCTTCTCCCACTCAACCTTCTGCCGTGTGATCGGCAACTGTCTCCGCAGCCCCTTGAATACTCCCTCGGCCGTGCTAACAAACGCCCGGTTCAACTCCTCCTGGTAATCCCGCTCCGCAGCCGCGATGCGCGAGATGATGGAACTGGCATCCACGGATGGCACCGACAGATTCACCGGCTTGTTGGTGTTGAGAGCCACGTTGCCGTCTTCATAGTAGTGCACATCGACCTTGATCTGGCCGGAGATGGTGGTCGAAGAGGAGTTCACGGGGAGAGTGTAGATGGCGCGGAAGCGACCGTTCCTGTCACCAATTAGTATTTCATCATCCAGAACCTGAAATGGGGGTGTACCAGAAGTTATTGGGCGAGTAGCGGTTCGCAACGAGGACAATGGCCACAGCGGTATCGTCCTCGATCGGGTAGACGCCGTAGCTGCAGGTGCGGTAGTGTTCGGTGGCGTGTGCGGAGAGGGACTTGAGGAGGGATTTGCTGCAATCCTGTTAGATTCACATCGGGTGATTGACTAAGATACAAGGGAAGAGAGCGTACATCAAATCCGCATTCTGCGACTCCAGAACGTATGACTGTGCTGCCGATGCTTCCTATTCCCCGTCAACTCCTTATCTTCTCAATGGCTTGTGTCCACCCACCTGCGTGACATGGTCCACCTCAAACGACGTCTGACTTTCCACATCGAAGTACCGGTTTCCCTCGAGCTTGTTGTATTCGCTGATCAGGACCTAGAGGTTGTCAGAACGGTCGATCGACTCCACCATCAGTAATGTAGCTGCCTACCTCCTGGCTCGCACCGGGAAGCTTCACGGTCGCCAGTTGTGTCTCATTGTAGCGCTCAAAGGCCGGTGCGAGGGAGGGGATGATGTCGGGACCGTCGGAGGTGAGAGCCTTGACGTCTGTAGAGCTGCTTAGTATGGTCTCGGTGCAAGGTACGATGAGGGTGGCAACGATCGAAATGAATGGTCTGGATTGCATTGCATACCTGCGACAACGTCCGCGAGCTAATAGATGCTGTTAGCTATGTTCGGGTTCATGCAGGTATAGGAGCATGAGGGGGTAGCTGCCTACCTCGCCGGGCGGGGCACCCTCGATGAAGGAGGATGCGAGTTCGGTTGTGGATGCCATGGATGATTATAAAACGTACTCAGCTGCCAGAGTTGAGTATGTCAAAGGGTAAAGGTAAGCTAGTAAGGGATTAAGCACGAAGGATAGAGGGGCAGTGGATGCTGGGTGAGCAGATGGAGCTCCGATGTCAACACGGAGTTAGCGCGAGTCCCGCCGAGCCCGCACGTGGCCCCTGACCTGCCGCTATCCGTATAGCATTTCTACAACACTACTTACTATATCACTGAGGTCTAGCAAGCAACCCTGAAGCATTCACTTCAGTATGCAGTAAAATGTTTATTAATATTAGTTATGATGCAGTTAAGCTATGTCCCAAGTATAGCACCAATAAATGCAAAGATAACGCCAAACTCAACCGATCCCGCTAACAGCATTGAATCCTTAGTCGATACCGAAGAATGTTGTAATAGTTATAATGATGTAGACAGGCTCAGCCAACCTACTCAATGCTCATGTTCATGAAGCCATCGCTGGTTTCATTCATCCCATGCAGTCCTACTCGTTTCAGGGTCCCGGTATGGTTGTTACCATTGCGAGGTCCATTTTCGGTGACAGGCCGGTCGGGGAACAGCGAGCCAAGGTTCGATCTTGGTGGCCCCCAGATGCTGGGACTCGTGTCTTTGACCACCGGTGAGTTAGGCATGACGGGGCTACTCTGTGCGCTCATGCTTGGCGATACCGCTCGCCGCTTGAAGAGGTTCGGATCGAAATCATCATCCCGACGGCGTTTCCTCCTGAACTCGCCAACAAACCCAGCCGGGGCGCCTTGAGATGCTTCACTGCGCGAGCCGGGTCGTTCGCTCGGTTTAGCAAATTCTGTAGTCGATCCTACAGTGGTAGATGGTGTGATGTCCATGGCAAGGTCATCTTCAGAGACCGATGAAGCTCCATGTCGGCGTTGGGGTGGGGGCGGCGTGCGGTAGCGCTCGTCGAACGAATTCCAGAACTCGACTCCTCCCGAATTTCGGTTGGCCTGATCGATGAATTTTGGTTCGTCCGGTGTCGTCAATCCGGCTTTTGGAGGGATTTCCTCTGGGGTTTGCCCGTGAGCAACAGGAGTGGACGTGTCAAGAGCCGACAAATCACCCAGCGGCGATTTCGCTTCAACGTCAGGTTCGTTCTCTTTGACTTGTCGAATAACTTCCGCTTCTCGCTTGGCCTCGCTATCAATTGGAGCAGACTCCTCCATCAATGCCGCCCGGATACGCGCAAAGGTTTTCGTTTTTGGCTAACAGAGTCAGATGCATCCTATGTGATCGGAATAAAGTACTTACGAGTAAGCTCCCACGACGGGTAACGGCCCGTCGAATTACCCCCAAAGGCCCGCCCTCGGAGTTCGACGTGCTTGGGCTCTGCCCACGCGCACCGCGGTTCTCACCCTCGTCGCTGACATCTGAAAGGCGCAAATCCCGCGTACCCATGCTGAGACTAGCCCGTCGGGCACCTGCGCCAAAGTAACCTCCATTCTGACCTTCGATACTCTTCATCACGGGTGGTGAGAGAGGACCCGGACTCTGCTTGGAACTGCCACTAGCACTGCTGGAGCTGTGCCTGCTTCGTCCCTTATGGAAACGGGCCCGCTGGAAGCTCATGAGACTCGCGGCTGCTTGCGAATAGCCGCCCATCCACTCATTTCCCGGGCTGGACACGTTCCCCGCAGCAAATGGACTCATTCCACCTCCCAACCGCTTCGCCTGAGGTGTATTGGTAATCATCATGTCGTCACGGTCGCCAATCATGGGTTCATCATCCTCCTCACTACTGCTTGTATCGGATTCCATCATGTTGACGCTGGATACGGAGCTCGAAATTGTGGCCTTGTCGGCGGGGTTCGAGGTGGAGAACTGGAGGCCAGAGACTGAAGCTGGCGAGCCGCGCCGCTGCGGGATATTTACACCGCGCCCGCCAACCGTTGGGGAGGAGTCCGGGGACGCTTCTGCAAGGGTCGAGTGATGGAGATTGGTGCAAGCTCGCGAAAAGTCCAGGCCTCGGGAACGACGGGGCAGCACGGAGCCCGGCGAGCCGTAGATGGCCGAGGAATCGAGCTTCGGGGAAAGCGGGGCGCGATTGGATAAGGATAAAGGTCCGGAGGATCTGGCAGAGAGGTTCAACGAGAGACTCTGCATGGACGGCCGCTGGGGCGTTTCGGGGGTGGAGGAGAGGGAGGAGTCATCTTTGCTGGGCGGGCGGGAATCATCGTGATTGATCGGCATGGCGGAAACTGGTTTTCCCGCATCGCTCAGCGAGCGAGTATTCGGTGAAGGACGCAATGGAGGCCCAAGTGTAGGTGTGTTTCTGTTGCCGGCATGGTCGGGATCGGTGCCTGAACTGGTTTGCCCGGTCCGCTGCGACAGTTGTTCGCTGAGCCGACTCGCGAATGGGATAGCCCGGCTATGGGATAGAGTTGAAGGGGTGTTAGACGACGTCATGTTTGCAACTGAGACCACTTTTTACACGTGTCACGGTGGCAGTTGTGCGTATCAGACCGCATGGGACATGGTGAGGTTCTCACGAATTTCTCCCGGGGCGGTTAATTCAGGTGGTAGGCTTCACGATAAGGAGAGGGTTCGAAGGGTCGAGACAGTGTGGCGTGGATAAGACGTGGGATGGCAGTTATCGTTATGGTCCGGATGGATGAGAGACAAAGATAAACATCAGCACATGATGGAAAGGTCAAGCAAAGCGCCAGACGCGGTTGAGGCCATCCGCACGCCCATGCCTGCCTCAGGTTGGCCAATCCTCCGCCAGTCCGGTGACGCCCTTGACTTCCTGCCCGCCACTTCCGGCCAATCATACACCATCTGCCCCGCCTCTAGGCTCGCCCTATGATTGGCGCGCGGACCCTAATCGTCTTTATGCCTTAGGCCTCATTTTCGTACTAGTTATACTCCGTCGGAATGTCTATCTACGACCTAAGTAGCTTAGTGTAGAGCTAGTATTCGCACTCACTCTGAGAACTATGATCTAATCCCGGGTATCTTCATCATAGTGAAGATACTATGGCCGCAATGGCTCACATGCACATGGCATTATATTCTGCCGCGGCCTGGAGCGGTCAAACAGGGCGGTCACAAATTATACAGAATGCAACTCGCCTTTTCCGGAGCTGTTCAAAAATATATCCGCTCATATCCGCTTATATCCGTACTTTCTTCTGCGAGGTCGACTAGGTTCTGCCTCTTTTGGCGGTCAGAGAAGCGGTCATAATTGGCATGATTGTCTACCAGCCATCTTACATAGTGGTTCCTAGGACTCTGTCCTTGCGGTTAACGAGGAGTCTGGATCCCAGGGCTTTAATCCGTGATACACTTTAGACCTCTTGTCTAACTGGAGGAGTCTCATAAGGAGACCTCAATGTCCGTCTACTTTGGCGCAAGCTTTCCATTCATTTGGTGATAACTTTGTTCGTATACTACGAGCCCCGGTATTTGCAAGCCACCTCATGCAGGCATCAACCAATCTAGGCTAGCGTCAACAGATCTCTATGTGAGCGTAATTTCCATCCATATTGCAAGGTACAATACTGCTTGTTCTGGGCCTGTAATTTGCATCTTCATCTGACACACAGACGCCGTGGATGTTTCTTTTCAACTACTTGCAGTAGCTAACCTCGGCTCTGATAAGGCATGTTTGCTTACCCTCCAACCCCGCTATTTAGTACAACTTGGTATTTTCAATTGGAATTTCCATTTCCCACCCCCGCCTTCTCTGACGCAGAACACCTTATGAGAGGTCCTTCTTTGAGATGATTAGCTATATTGCTACTCTCTCTTATTCGCACATTTGGCTCCCACTTATATCATACTTATAACGCCTTTCTCAAACAAGTCGTTCATATAAATCACTCCCATTATGAATCCCCGAGTAGGCGTAGGCGTCTTCGTCATCAATCCCAAGGGACAAATAGTTCTTGGACAGCGCAAAAGCAGTCATGGCGCTGGTAAGTAATACCCCATCTAGAGTTCATTGATTCGTTTTGGTTGTATGATGGTGCTTTTAGGCTCAACTCTATTTCTGACGCCTCTACACAGGTACCTGGGCCCTACCCGGCGGCCATCTCGAATTCAACGAATCGTTCGAAGACTGCGCTGCACGTGAAGTACTAGAAGAGACAGGCCTCAAAGTCCGCGACATACAGTTCCTTACAGCGACCAACGATATTATGAAAGAAGAGGGGAAGCACTATGTCACTGTTTTTGTGGGATGCACGGTTGTTGGAGATGATGCGCAGCCGGAGGTCAGTGATATTGCCTCCTAACCCACGTGTGACCTGGTTCTCCAGAAAGACCTCCGGCTAATCATTCCTTCTAGTTATTGGAACCCCACAAATGTGAGCAGTGGAAGTGGGTGACTTGGGAAGAAGTTTCCTCGTATCATAGCGATCCGAACTCCAGCCACAGGCTGTTCATACCCTTGATCAATCTGCTCGAGCAGAGACCGGGGTTTCATCCTGTTAGACGATGATGATTTCATCTCTTTTAGTTCTGGGAAACACTTCGTTACTTGTACTACATAAAACTATTAAATGGAAGTCTCTAGCTATTAGCGGCTACAAGGTTGATATTCTCTGCCCCTAGTCTTGGCTTCCCATTGACCTTCCCGGCAACCAAAGCCATGATGAAGCCCAACACTAACTCCAACATTGCCATAAATAATCTTCACCAAGGCGATACGTCCGTGACAGCCAGGTTTGACAAAATGTATGAACCAGGGCTGCGATTGGTCATGATGTCTGGCTATAAAGTCCCTAGATCTGGTGTGAACGGCTAGGCTAAGTTGATTGATTTGACTCTGGAGGCTGTAGGATGATACCCTAAAGTGACTGGGTACTTGCGGTTGTTGGACACGCCCATCTTTGTTGCAGGGGATGGGAACGGAGTATTCCGTGGTATTGTGGCTGCGATGATTAGCGGGCATTATGCCTCTCTGCTGCAATGTTGAAGGGCTTCGCGTCGGAGTTTGTCTGAATTCATGTAACTTTCTGGTTATTCTCATGGCCCGGCACCTTCTGTCCTAGGATACATGTGTGATGGTTCTTGGATGGAAATGTGTTGCTTTTGTGTCACCTTCCATAGCAAGGTCTGCTTACAAAGTTATCTAGCATGCAGTAACATAGGTATTTACACACGAGAGTTGCCTTGTGAAGATCAATTTATTCCTGCTATTACCCTTTGCATAGCCCAATTAATGTCTTAGCTATGTTTAAGAGGAAAGGGAACACACAAAATTAGGAGCCAAAGCCGAAATGTTACGCTCAAGTAGCAGCCTTCAAAAGAATCCTGCCTGTTGAATCCAAGAAAGACCTGATGCGAGACGACTCATAGAAAGCGCCGTTATAGCAAACCCTTAATTCCAATTGACGCAGCCGGGACTCCATAGCGATGAATATTGAATTATTGGCTGGAAGATTGATAGCCCAATAATCCTCCAGCTCAATCTCGCCATATGAAGCCCTCATGTAGGGTGACAAGTCCCCGACGCTACTAAAGATAAGAGTGGACATCACATCATTCACGACATCGGGATCCATATCGGCCAAAACGTTTGTCATAATCGGTATATACGACGTCATATTGCTCTTGTAGGAAGAATAACACTTCATCAACTCCTTGGAAGTTTTCGAGAAATCGTGAATTCCGACTTGAATAGGCCACAATCAAAAGCGCAGTGCAACCGCGTGACTACCAAGTTCAGGCCGTCCTTTGCATTGTTCCCGGAGGCTTGAAACCAGGAATGTGTTATGTTGGACACCATCAGGTAAATTGGCCTGTTCCTTTGCAGCTAGGGCGATGGCTGTATGAGCAAACGGAGTAAGCGTGAGGCCTAGTTTTCTCGCCCCGGCAATGATCGTTTCTGAGCATTTAACCGAGAATCGGTATCTTTCGAACTCGTATGTTGACGGAAGATGCGCTTCTGTAGGTTTTCTTTCTAAGCCTAAGGTCCTCGGTGCTTTAAGCTGCTTCTTAGGAAAGAAACCTCGATGATCCTCAACCCATGATTGTGGGAGCCGTGGGATCTCAGCCGCATCCCACGTCTCAACAGGGAGGTTGTTAACCTCTTCTCCTGGTTTCCATCGGACAGTGTCATTTACAGGACACGATAGCTCATTCAGAAAGTCGTGAAACCACAGAGCTATCCCTTGAGCATCTGAATGACAGTGAGTGAGTTTCAACATAAATTCATTGCGGTCCTTGAGATGGAGCAGCATGGGAAACTCCACTGGGCCTAAGCTGTTGAGTACAACTTCTGTGTATTTTTGGCATGAACTTAGTGACAGAAAGGTTTTCTCGGTCCAGTCTTCTAACTCCTTGCCGTATGGCACATTGTATATCCAGTCTCCGTCGACAATAGAGCTTGCCATTAACGGATGCTTGTATCGTAGATTCTGCCAGGCTAGTCGCCCCTTCTTGGTCAGTTCCTCCTCAGTGAGGCGAGTCCGCACTTTGATAGCGGCAGCAACGTCGTATGTTCGGCGACCAGGCGGGTGGCTGATAGAGATTTGTCTCATTACAACCTCCATGCCATCAAGAGGTCTGGTGTATTGTTTCTCAGACACTCTTCCCCATGGTTTTGGAACTTCAGTAGAGTAAGAAGATCGACGAACAGTCGGTGCTGTGAATATTATCCTAAAAATTAATTTACTTCTATTAGCCAATCGTGATGTCACTTCCCAAGAGGAGAAATATGTCCGATGTAACAGCAAACAGCTCGAAGGTTGTTAGGACAGTGTACTATACCTTGAAATGCTACATGATGAGAGCGTATGGGAGCAGCTAAAATTCCCGTAGCGTGAGGTAGGTAACATTTTGTCGAGTTGGTTTGCACATGGGACGCGAGAGCGCAACATGTCTCATTCCATATTCAATGTACGAACCCCGAGCCGACTGGTCTGAACATATATAGGGGTACATTATGATGCTCCGGATGGGTGATATATCCGCAGCCACTCCCACTACGTACAATGTATTGGAAGTTAGGCTCGAAGACACATGACCACTTTGTATGCATGGACATCAGATGGGAAGTCAGTCGCTGGAGCCAACAAAATCCACATCAGGCATCATCGACTTCCCCTTCCATTCCACATTCCAAGGATTGTGACAAGACATTACAGGATTTGTTCCTTTTTCACTGGACAAATCAAAGTCTAAATCAGGTTCTGCCAATCATAGATGACACTGCGCTGATCCGCGGCAGAAAAATGCAGAGATGCGCGTACTCCGTATGTATCTCATGCGTCCGTGTTAGTGAGATCGACCTGAACGTGATACCTTCTTTACTATTATCCGAACATAGATCTCCACTCTGCAATCGATAACGCAGCAGAAAGGCCTAGAACATGGGAGTTTGTTGTAGTCATACTCTGTGCGCAAAATGCAAGACACTTTGTCTGCTTGGCCACATCGAGACCCCCTTACTAAATTCGCCCTTGCAGTCCGCCTCCGCGACCAATGGGAATACTACAGATAGCGATATCAACTAAGGGTGCTATGGTCTTCTTTAATTTGAAGGTTCTGTGAGTCAAAGAGCACTCAAGGACAAATGTGTTCGTCTGGTCAGCCTGGGTACTTTTCTGTGATGGCGAAGATGTAGCTCATTTCTGTCTATCTTCTTCTACTCCAGAGGTACTCGATGGCGGTGTGCCATAGCAGCATGTTCTCATGGCTGTATGGCGCTGGCTCGACGTCCACCCGAGCTAGAGTGTTTTGAATACTCCCGAGCGTCATTCCCTCGTACAGGCTGTAGAATCCACCTTCGTCTGTTCTTGGAAACCGGGCTTGACTGGTTAGTTAGGATGCAGTTTATTGAGGGAATTCGCTCAGGGCATTTAGTCTTCCGCTCACTCAATGCTTACTGATGCCCTCAGGCCGCTTAGGGTGTGCTCAGGTCTTCTCGGTGAGCAGAAGGTGGCGAGATGTGAGCACTACAACAGAAAGCGAAAATCATCGTCCTGGCTAGAAGATCAGTACATATGCAGTAGCAAATATATAGGCTGAAGAGCTAGACAAGTTGGGAATAGGAGAAGAGGTAGGAAACAGAGTACAGCTAGGACTTGAATAGTTGAGATATTCAATAAAGAACTTTTGCTGAATATTATACAGCATGGCCTTGATTGTCTGGCTAAAAGGCCTATAGTGAAATGATATATTGATGTAGTAAAAATACCGGTATAGACTCAGAGTTTCATAATTATCAATGTTATTCTAGTTAAGTATGAAAAGAAAATAATCTAAATTTTTGTACTAAAGATTACGAGGAATGTTGGGGCCTCGCCCGGTGTCTAATTTGAGGGTCTCACGTATTCGCTGATGAGGACCACGTCTTCAAGTTGATAACCAATCTTCGAGAAAGCCATAGTCAGGACGTAGCGCTAGGAAACAAAAAGTTTGCACATTTAGCTTGCCCGCGTCCAGCCAGCTTACGCGTTAAGGCCCACTACCTCTGTGGATAAGACTGGAGGGGTGATAACCACCAGGTTGCCATTTTACACGCTTTCAGCCCACTCAAAGAATTCATATAGGACATCAAAAAAAATTATTCAATTGGATCCGTACGCGCAACCTTGAGTACCTTCCATTGGAAGATATTTTGAGCCTGTATCGCGTCGATGTGGATATCCATCAATCATTGATACACTTCCTACAGCTCCTAAAATCGGTGTCACCATCATTGGCACAGTCTTGCTCGATATGTTTAATTTAATCACCGCATTCGCAATATTCGCCCTTGTGATAGGGGGGCGAGCAGTCTTGGCTTCGCAAAGGTCCGCTGGTTTTAGTAGAGGACAGAAGATCGCTTCTTTTTTTTCTCTTATCCTCTATCTCTGCGGTGTCAGTCTGTTTGTGTGGGCACTTATATGGCGAGGTATAGTGATCTAATATGTTCTCTCCGTATCTGGCTCAACGACTCATTCTGTGACAGGTCTCATATGCTTGAAGCACGAACAATTGGGACCTATCTTGACACAGATCAAGGAGCTCTATTCTAGCCTTGATAGAGCTTCTAGTATTCTTTTGTTGGTCTCTGCAGGCCTCTTTTTTCTCGGGCTTTGCTTGAAACTGGCAGTATTCATGAAGCGATGTACAGTGACTGCCTTCCGCCATGATAAGAATTGCCTATTAATTTTGCCACAGGTCACTCAACCCGGAAGGTGCCAGACGGCCGCAAACCGGTCAGGGGTTTTGGTGACAAGCAATAACTGAATTTGATGTTCATTCGGAGATGAAGATAAGATATGGAGACAAGGGCACTGGGCTTTGGCGGGACTGGGTAATTTTATAGGCTAGGAAATGTGAAAGCATACTCTAGCGAAGTGGACTCGAATTTAAGTTCCAATGTCCTGGATACTGCAAAATTATAGAAGCAATGATGTCCCACGCAGCTGTCTCGGTCGATTTGGCATAGACTGTCGGCTCGGCAGCCGACTGCTAGGCTAGTAAGACTAATTAAACCCTGGCGAGAAGACAAAAGCCCGCCAACATTGTGGTGCCCTCTGGCCATTGCCATGGTTCTTTGAGGAGAGATGTCCAACAATATCTGGTTAACAACGTCTGACAGTGCCTAGCGGTATTCTCTGGGCCTCTACCAACCTTTACATGTTCTGGCAATCCTTCATGCTGCGTGTGTCTTCGGTGTTTGGGAAAAGAGCCGTTATCCAGACCGGCGGAACAAGTATGTTTTTGTTCTTGGGGCTTTTTCGACTATTGGTGTTGTAATGGCCAGTCTTGTACAGTGCTTTGCCATCACAAACGTGAAATCCATGATAAGCAAAAACTATTCAAATTCCTTTCATAGTACTAACTCTTTCCATCCTCACCGTGTTCCCCGTGACGAGAGAAAATGCCAGAAAAAGAAGAAACAGTCCAAAATCATGAGCCATGATCAACTGCACTTTAGTACTAATCTAGTACAGTAGTTTGTTCCATCTATGGTTATATAATCCCACACTAGAACCCTCTTGTCGCAGTTCTACCAATATAGTATGTTATACAACGTAGGTTTCTACACTGTTCAAATCACATAACCATCAAAGAGTTCAGTCATTCGCATTCATTCACTAAATGAGTATACTTTCAAAGGTTCTGATGGTGAGCCATAAAGAGGCCACAAGATATAGCATGGGGTCAGCTGTCACGGGCACCTTCCCCTTTGGGAGGGAGGTCGAACACACTGCAGCATCTTCTTCATCCGTTTTACTGCATGTATTTAGATCTTCTTCTTCATCAGACACATACAAATAAACGCACAATTATGCAGGTCTTTCATGTCTTCCTAATTCATCTCTTTCTAATAGACTAAATTGCGCTTCCGACGCCTCGGTTCGAGGCGAACGCTGCATCAGGTGATTGGAAAATTCTTCAGACTAGAGTGAATATCCAGTGTTAATTCACTTCTCACAAGCTGCTGTGATGAGATTTCCCCGAGCTTGGTCAGTCTTATACATCTCAAGAATCCTCTGAATATATTGGCTACGCGTTCTCACCTTGTGTTTTGAAACCTGCGCAGCCTTAGATTCAAATACTGCACCTCGACTATTAATTACCAACCCCTCTTGTCCTGACTTCACCCAATTTGACAAGGACAACTTCACGCTAAGAATAGCGCAATTCATCGTCAATGTCAATATGCTTGACAGACTACCCCCTGAGGTTCTTCTCATAGCACTGGAAGTAAGTGAAATATGCGCCTAACAGCCTGAATTGGCCTTTTTCGAAGCCGGCTGACTTATCACAGTACATAACCCGCCATGATCTCAACAACATATGCCGTGTTTCCAAGCACCTCTACGCTATTGCAGTTCCACTTCTGTACAAGTCTGTAACTTTAACTTCCAATAGATCTGGAATCAGCGAGACATGGAACCATGTTGACTCTCTACTCCGAGCACCTGCTTTCCCAGTTGACTTACTAGTGCACATGAGAGATATCGATATTCAGGAAAACCGCTCCTCGCCCGGTAATGGGTGTTTACACAACTATACATGGTTGAGACAATTTATATGGACGAACAACGAATTGGACGAAGACGCGCACGACTATCACAAGGAAGAAAGAATATATAGGGATGAAATACGCTATCTGTCTTCCAAGCTACTGCAGGTGTTTTCAAGATGTGCAGCGGATAGGCTCCAAAGATTTAGGTAAGCTTAGAGTATTTCTTATCTTCAAAAGTAAGACCAGCTAAGATAAGAATGTTATACCACAGCTGGAACGTTGGAACGTGTCTACCCAGCGAAGTTCTCGGTGACTCTGGATATCTAATACTGAATCAGCGCAAGCTTGTAGCTATCCATCTAAGAACAGGTAGCTCTTATGCCGCTGGCGGCAGCGATCTCTTGCTATCAAAGTTTGCGTGATTAAGAAGCATATCATGGCCTGACCTATGTTATGAACATCATGTTCGTGAACTGTGTCTAGCACTTAAGTCGAATGCGTTCCACCTTACCCAAATGGGTTTGGGAGTCACGGATATATCTGGTGATGAAGTAACGCAATCCATACAATCAATGCTTGCCAAAGAGATCTTGGACATGTATGATTTGAGAACAGCCTTTCGATTTCCCGTTCTTCAATATCTCTCATTTTATTACATGGATCTGACTCCGATATCCCACGTGCTTTCATCTATATTCAACGTCACCTCACTTCTATCCTTGAGTCTGCGTCTATGCAAATCCTGGGAGTATGCCTTACTTAACTTTCTCAACTCTGGATCCAGAATCGCCTTGAAGTCTTTGACGCTAGAGACTGATATGAGGCGAGCTGGAGAAGATAGTGTTCTTGCACTACCAGCTTTCCTTAAATCATTCGAGGGGCTAGAAGAGTTGTACATCTCGGTCCTTTGTTTTGAAAGCCCAGTCCCTGTATGGCGTTCTGTGTTTACTCACAAGGAAACATTGAGAAAGCTCGTATGCCAGCAATTACATATTGATGGATACCAGTCCGAGGAACATGGTCTTTACTTGGGTGCAACCGGTTTTCTTGAGCAATTGACGGGTGCTGACCAAAATCCATTCGTCGGTCCCAGGCTTGAGTTTTTAGGCATCTCCAGCAATGATTTCGATACCCTGGTACGCGTCAACTTTATTCAAATTCTCAACTGCTTTTTCAATAACTAATACATAGATCATATTTTAGAAGTCTATTCTGACCTCGCCAAGTATCAAAGCATATATTCGTGTTCTCCATCTGAGACGGTGCGAAGAATTTTACGATCAGTCATACTTGATAAACTCCGACTGCTGGGATGATATCAGAAATAATAAGCTGCCATCGTTTCGTCAGTTCCTGGCATGGGCATTTGGACCCGAAGGTCCCCCTGAGCTTCAAGCGGTGGGACATTGCGCCTTCGTCTTCATGCAGCCTATCAGCGATGTGTTCTACTTTAGAGATGCACAACACGAGGGTGGATATCGTTGCGTTTTTCGGCGCCGCACGCAACAATTCGATTTTATTCGGCAGTATGATTATGCTTTAGATGCATGTCGTTATGATGATTATCTTATGGATTGACGGACTGACGGGCTGACGGGCTGATTCAGTGATTTACTTGATACCTACGGTGTAAAGCCGTTGAGAGGCAGACTCTGGTCTGACAATAGTCCTTCTTTTCCTCTCTGGCACAGAAGCTTAGTTGTAATATCAATGTCATTGAGGGTCGAATAAAGCAGAGGGCGTGCAACACAAAAAAATGTCAAATATTGGTCAATATCAGAAACTTTGCTCAGGTACGTTTAGTGGCTATCTATATCTTCTCATTGAGAAACCCTCAGTGGTATTTGACCTAGCGTATCATATGAATTGATGTATATTGAAATCACCTCATTTTCCCTCTACAAAGAGGTCGATAATAATTCTACCCTCCGCATATATTCCTAAATTGGATGGAATTTGATCAAGCTTGGGAATAGTTTATTTTTAATCATAGCCCTGCTACTTATTGAGTCAAAAGCAACCAATGAAGCGCCAATTATTACCCGTTAGACTTCCATAACTCACAAGGCTATCCGTACGTACATCTTGCGGGATTTATCCACCATCCACACAATGGTAGGTGGTGTCTCAGTACAGTACGTGAGGCGTCCAATAAGGTAGCAGCTATCCGAGGATCCCTGTCAGTACCAGGTTGACTTCTGCCGCAAGACAAGGCTGAGAGGTACGCTTATGAGTAAGGCAAACCCATCCCTAAGGCCCTTCACTTCACTTCCTCTCTCAAAGGCTCATCAACCTAGTACTCAGCATCCAGCACCAAACCCTTTGTCTTGGCTTGTACGATCAAACAAAGACCCAGGTCTCCATCAACCATGACATCTCCTCCTGAGAGTCATCGAAATTTCATTCCACACGGTAGCCGATCAGAGATTCTGCTACTACCACCGCGCAGCGATGATTTTATGGTTTCTCACCCATGGACAGCAATGTACCTCATCTCGCCTCCCCTTCCGCGTGGAGTCTCTGCAGTCCAGTTTAACATCACGAGCCACGACCAAGGATGGTGCAGCGATAGAAGTCAGGACATCTGGTCTTGGTTCGACGTATCCATCTTGTGCTCTGAGCGAGATGGTGTTGAAGACTATCCTTCTTCCTTTCTTTCTGACTTGTCGGATCATCCTTCATCATATCTCAAGCCTAAACCCGAAGATTTCCGCCAAGTTTTGCAGGACCAGGGCTTGCATTTCAAGGACATCTCTAAACAAGAAGATCCAGCCAAGCCGGAGCGCATTGCGAAGCGGGTGGCTTCGAATAAGATCCAGAGGTCCTGGCAACAACATGTTGTATTTTGGAGAGTTGAAGATGGTGGTGAGGAAGCTGAGTTCCTGTCCTGTCTTGAAGAAGGGGATCGGTTGGTCGTTTGGGCTCGCACACAGGTATATGTATCTATAGTAGTCTTTTGATTGATAGAACTATTACGGGTGCTGATCATGCTTTGATAGTTCCCTGGATGGATTAACTGTGTGAAAAATGTGGAAATAAAGGTCTCGGTTGATGAGGTGAGCTGTTTCAGTCAGGTTAGATGTGGGCATAGTTTACGCTATTCTGACACCGGTTGATGTAGACGACTCTTATTACCCTTCCTGCAAGCGGTGGTGATTTTGAAACGCGTCAAGAGGACACAGTCATTGGTGTTTCGTGATGCTTAGTTGGGGGCTTGGAGGAAGTATGCACATAATCTGGTGCTGCTTGCGCTTCGTATATACCTATGTGCTGGTGTTTGTGCGTCTTGATGATCGGTATATCTACTGGTAAGAATACAATCTACGCGAGATTCGGGAATGTTATTCTATGGTCGCTCTTTTTCCAACTACTAAATGTCAGCTGGGAATCACTATGCCGTTACGGATAAGGAGATAAGAGTAAATAAAATGAATATGTCCAATTTATCAGTCTCAGTCAAGTCACTATACATTGAAGCTAAACACAATCCCAAAACCAGTATCCCTAATTCTACAAAAACCTTCCAAGTCATATAGTCATTCAAGTGATCAAAACAAAGCGCTATGTCCTCTTTTTTCTGTCCACCGCAGCTGCATAGCATATGTCAGGGGTGACCCGTGCATCCAACACTTCCTCATTTTTCCAGCAGGGCGCCTCAAGCCAAACTCATCGCCGTACTAATCGGTGCAACATACCACTCCCAATCATTACACCCCGCAACACTATCATCCGCCGCATCCACCGGCGAGCCCTTCAGCATATCACTATCCCTGGCCTGCCATATCTTCACGATGACAGCTCTCGTCCTTGCTACATTCGACACACTCGACTCAGCCATAGCTGCCAACGCACGCAACACCAAAGGCCGGCCATATACCACGCTCTCGCCGGTGTCATCGCGCCAGACTTCATCATGAAGCGGGTCCAGCTCAACGGCCGCTACGAAGACAGGCCAGGTCATGCTGACGAGGGAGCCAGAGTCGAGCAGGTGAGATACGAGGCGGAGGATGCCTCGGACGTAGCCGATTACCAGGGGTGTGGAGGGTGATGCGCCGTATAGTGCGCAGTGAAGGTATAGCACGGCTGCTAGACGTTTCAGTTCTGCGGCGGAGCGGAGGCTTCCGTCGTCGTTATTGTCGTCGTCGTCGGTTGTTTCCTGGACGAGATTCTCGAGTCTGCGGCCTAGGGAGGCGGCGCGGTTGGAGAATGCTTTGCGAGCGGTGTCAGATGTCAGTTGGCGTCTTGTTCGGCTCAATTCTGTAATTGAGGAGAGGATGGAGACTAGCTCCGGGCTGCAGCCCATCCAGAGGTCAATGTGGCGGTTGTTTTCTTGCCAGTAATCTGTCCCGAAGAGGACTTCTTCGCCGCAGGCAGTGCGGCCCATGACGTCTTGGAAGGCGAAGAAGAGCTCGGCGAAGGCGGAGACGGGGTCAAGGGATTGACGAGGCCGAGATGGGGTTAGTTGCTGTTGTTGTCGGCGAATGCGAATCAATTCTTTGGCGCCTTTTAGGTGGATTGTCCAGCGTTGGTCGCAGTTGTCCACAATCTCATAGAGACATAGCATCATCATGATTGCTAGGACCTCAGGGTCTGCGGAGCAGAGGAGTGAGCCTTCAGTTGAGAGGCGATAGCGGAGGCCCCGTAGAGCTTCGGACTTGAGGCGAAGCCCAATTACGCTGTAAGTTGAGTCGAAGCGGGACCAGTGACATGCTCCAAGAGCTTGAATGGCTTTGAAAAGGATTGGAGATGCGGACATGCAGAAGGGAAGGATGATGGAGGCGAAAGGGGAAGATAGCTTCGAGCTAGCGGTGGTCCGGGGACACACTTGTTGGAGATAGTAATCAAAGAGGCGACCCTGATTGGAGTCCGATAGACTGGGGAACATCGACAAAGGCGGGGCTAGGTGCGGGGAGACAAGTGGGACAGGCGAGCAGCAATCGGAGAGCTCACGGATTGAAGATGGAGACGACAACGACGATGGTGATAACGACCAGTCTGCGTTCTCATCCAACAGGTCATCCAGCGCCGGGCTCTTCCCCTTGTCCCGGACAGCAAGGGCATTCAACTCATCACAAGCAACATTGACCTCATAAGGCTGTTCGAAAGTCGACACCCCACTATTGACGAACCCCCACGACTCGATAAGCGGAATAGGACACCATTCCTGATCGCGAAGGAGGAACGCAGCCGAAGACTTTCCAGGAGGAGGAGGAAGTCCGCCGGCAGCCCGAGCCTTACTCCAAACGCCGGCTCTACCAAAAGCCAAGCCGCGGCTAACGAACTCGGACTCCCACTTGAGAACGAGTTGGGTCGAGCATACTAAGCCCTTCTCAAGACATCTGGTGCAGACCGGCTTCTTCAGATCGCAGCGGACTCGACTGGCGCGGCATTCTCTACAGCCACTGCGGCTTCGGGTCTTGACCGGACCCACGCGGTCTGCAGCCTTCTTGCGCGGCATCCGACTAAGGGAAGGGGCGTCTTTACATGGCCGGGCAAAGGTCCAGAGTAATAGAAGGGGAAGAAAACCTTCTGGCTCCGGGTTGCAGGAGCGAAAGAGCAACGACACTCCTCGCTCGGAGGGAGAGGTGCACTCTCGGCGTCGAGGCCACCACCAGCCGTGGCGAGATCACAGCGGACAGCCCCGAACGGTGAACCCAAGAGGGGCAACGGTGGGCTTGAGACAATCCCTGTAATGAGCACTCGGATTGGCCTGGCGAGCTGACCGGATAAGAGCTGCCGTGGCTTAATCTGAAGAAGCTGCGAGGCTTATCGAGACTATGACTAGTGACTTAGATAGTTGGTTATCACAATCCCCGAGGGGATCATGGCGCTGATAGTTAGTTATGACTAATGCCTGACTACACATGGGGTATTTCCGATAACAGGAATTATTCATTATTCCGCTCCGAAGGAGACTTGGTCTATACTTTAGCTCTTAGTGCCGTAAAGTGCAGTCATTTTTCATCAAATGGCCTGCTGGCCCAATGGTAAGGCGCTTGACTACGGATCAAGAGATTGCAGGTTCGAGTCCTGCGTAGGTCATTGGTTATTCTTTCCATCAAGCCCGGGTGGTCTAGTGGTATGATTCTCGCTTAGGGATACAAACCCAAGCATATCTGCGAGAGGTCCCGCGTTCGATCCGCGGCTCGGGCCTTGAAAAAGATAACCTTCATTTTTTCTTCTTTATTTCTTTTGTTTGCTCTTTTTTTTTGGAGGGGGAAGGAAGGAGGGTGGTGTAGGAATGGATGAGTAGTAAGTGGTATTAACCACTCTGACTAGAATTGCAGAGACATCTAGTAATGGCGTAAAGACACATTTCAGATATATAGTACAAGGATAACAGGTGGGAAGTCAGCGGCTAACATAACCAATATCGAATAAGGAATGAGAGCTAGATATATATATATATATATATATATCCTGTACTACCAAGGAGTGGGACAAACTAGTAGCTCAGAACCCAAAGGTGAAAAATGCTAGCGAGTGCTAGGAGACAGTCTTTGATAATATTTCTGGCCGTCAGTGACTCAGCGAAAGTGCCAATAGGTGCGCTATAATTAATAATAATTATAATAATAATAATATATCCTGTACCAGATGGGAGCTAAGGAAGTTTCTGTATAGAACATAGATAGTTCTTCATTATCGCAAGATTTTCTAAAGTTATGGGACAGACATATCTTGCAGACTATTTTTCCTTATACGCACGCTGAATCACGATTTTCTATAACAACCTGCATAGAGGGTAATGTCTATATTTTAATCAAAGTCTGCATTGCCTCCGGCAGTATTTCTAGAGGCTCAACCAAAGTTTAACAGAATCAATAAATCAATCCAACGCTTTGAAAAAACCATGTGTCGCTTCATAAGTACTTTATACATCCCACACGAGCTTAGCTAACCTTTTCCATCCACCCAATAACCTCTTGTCGTGTCATGATCTACTCTTTATACTCCTCACGACCATGTCGCCGGTCCAAAAGTCTGATTCCCCTTCAACTCCAGCCACGGCGTGCCCTTGCTATCCACCGTCCCACTATTGACCGTGTTACCCCACCAGTTGAAGGTGATTCCCGGGAATGTCAGCGCGAAGAATATGACAATGGCTCCAACGGCAACGCCTGAATCCAATGCGGCAGAGAGTACGTAGTTGTACTTGGCCCACCAGTGAGGCTTGCGACCTTTGATAATCTATAGGCGGTCAGAATGTCGCACTTTATCATAACGTGAAGATAGATGATTTACCTTGTTAAAGATCAGACTGACTACAAACGCCGTAGAGTAGTTGATACCCGTCTACCGCCAACAGTTAGCATAGAGAAGCACTCTTGACAAGGGGGTTTTCCATACAGCAGGAGGCAAGTTACCCGTGCCGGCAAAGAAGATCGGCCAGTGGATGGCGTCCAGGAACCGGGACTTGGGGTATTTCTTGCGCAATACAAAGGTAATAATAGGGAGCAGTGCTCCGATCCAGAAAAAGTGCAGAAGACCGGAATAAATCTTTCCGATATTGTATAGTCTGGTAGGTCCAATAGCTGTAGCATCGTCAGTGGAATCCCGCGCAAGCCAAAGAAAGCGAAAGAGTGGCCATACCTCCCCATAGAACGGCACTGTTGTAGTTGACCCGACCCTGCGGACAGGTAAAGTTGTCCGCTTGATCCTCCGAGCACACGTCTTGCACATTTCCAAGCATCCAGAGCAGGACCCCATCTTTCCGAATCAGCGGTCTGCAGTCAAAAAGCGGATGTACAGAAATCACTCACTTTGCGTCAAAGTTCCCAAAATGCAGGCAACCAGCTGCGCAACGAACAGAGTCCGCCGCGGGATCTTCATATACATTCCGAGCTAGATAATATATCTCAGCAGGGAGACTTCTTAAATATGTTCGCACAATCAACCGACCTTCATGTCTGCGCCGTAATACATGGCTTGGCTCAGCCCAGTGTACGCATAAAACTATCATTTGTCAATGATGACTTCGCAGATGAGATGTCCTGGCCTGAGATCTCACCTTGAATATCAAAAGAACGAGCGGTTTCCCTTTCAGTAGATAGCCGGATACGATTTCTCCCAGCACAGTCAGACAGTTGCTGTTAAGGTTTGCCACAGCATATACAGTTCCAACTGGGATCACATAAATCGCTGCCAGAGCCAACGTGATAAACAATCCCCAGAACGGAAGCCCCGTATGCCAGACATACTGCGTCATGATCGCAAGAGCAACGATAATAACCTTTATTGTTAGCTTGTTCGAGTCAGAGGGAGGTAATGCTTACAGTCAAGGCACCGTACCACCACCATGGTACATCAGGGTACTGGGAAAGTAGCCTGGCATGGATATCCTTTTTGTTCTCTCCCCGGAAAGTCTGAATGATATCTTTCGTATGATAGAGAAGTACGTGCGTGATCAAACACGTCAGGACTGCAAAACCTACTCCGTAACTCAAGGAGAAGGTCACAGGCAAGAAAAGGGGGCTATACGCTTTGTACTTGTCCTCATCAAAGACTCCTTCGCTGTTCAGGATACGACTCGGATCGTAAATTCCTCCAGTATTGTCATATGCATCAGAGCTCGTGAGGGGAAGATACGCCGTGTACCACGTGTTGGTATAATAGAGGATTGGGGCCGCCACGGCGTATATCAAAAACCAACCCGCAAAGACATTGGCCTGTGCCCAGTACGGGATGGTCAAGGGAGATGTGTTATACGCAATCTGGCTCCAATCAAATGTCGTGGGCATATATCCCAGACCCGTGGTCATACCGAAGAGATTGTTGACGACCTTATTGTCTAGATATCATGTTAATTCAGAGCCCTTCTTTTGAGTCAAGGTATATCCCAACATACTAGGAGCTGCCCAGCAAATAAACGCAAAGGTACTCAGTCCAGTAAAAATATAGCCAGGAAACCAATACCAGCAGAAGCTTCCAATGCAGACAATAAGGAAGAACCGATATCGGGAGATCTTCCAGCCGTCAGCAATAGGGTTCGCACCACTGTGTAGTGTCTGAAAGAGGGCTGCGTTTGCCAGTGTTGAAGGCCAAATCTGAGCCAAACTGGTTAGTGTAGATCTCCCCAAAGTTGTCTTCCCAGCACTTACCATTTGAGGCGGCTCAATGATGTATCTGTATGACAGCCCAGCAAGCCCAAGACCGAACAACTGCATCGACAGCGATAGCAAGATCTGATATCCTACAGGTGTTGACATCTTGAGATACACCTTTTGTGCCTGGATAATCGCACTTGCCTATCACAAATGTCAGTATCTCCTATCGACTCTGGCCACTTTGTGACTTGAGACAACTCACCCAAGATTGGTTGAAACTGAGGTTAGACATGATCGTGATCACCGCGTGCTCTTTGATATTGAAGTGGTGGTCCGGATTTATGTCAAAGTCCCAGCGTCCAAACAAGCGCACCCTCATAATAGGCAGGGCTTTGGCAAAGAAACATCCCACTGGATAACTAAGCAGCTGCGCCACCAATGAAGTAATTGTCACACTGGGATACCGCATAGAGAAGAATTGATTGACGCCTGTACCAAGCTTTGAATAAGTCAGTGCGCTAGATACAATTACATGTCTCTTGGGTACCTACGAGGGTGAAGACAACCCCCAGAAACCACATCCGAAATGTGTTGACTGGTAAAGTAGGGTCATCGGTGTTTGGAACATTGGCTCGCACTTCCAGGTATGGAGAGTTGTCCGAGTCGATAGTATATTCAACATTGCTGCTGTCGCCAAGGGCAATGTCTAGGACATCTGCACTGGCCACGGGCTTCTTGGAAATGCCGTCGTCGCGCAATGTAGGGTCCCCCGCATATTCCTCAACGTCTGCATCGTGGGAGGTCTCTGTCCTATAGCGAGCCATGACACTGCTATCAGGCACTCAGAGGTTGCCTGGTCCCTTGAAGAACAAAATTTGAAAGGGTTTAAGAGACTGTTCCCGATGCCACGGGGAAGCATGGCAAGACAACCGACAGTGGCCATTCCTCCCTTTTATAACGGGATACTGCCGGCTTGGCTTCTCCCGGCATATCATATCAACGGACTTTCATGTCGCTGTGTAGATAGGGCCCGAGGGCAGCGACGAGATAGAGTATACAATGTACGGTAGGTTATCCCAGTAGAACATTCTGTCCGGTTGCAAAGGCAGGGGACTAAGAACACGGCGAAGGGAAGAAGTAGATATGCGGCAACGACTGCTATTGGACCCATGACAAGCTCAAAGCAAGCCACAAGACGATTGTACGGGTGGGGGAATAATAAGGTAAGGTCCAAGCGAACGAATAGCCGGTATGCACCTAGTGGCTAATACTTTGTTGCGACCAGCTCAAAGTCTGGCCATTCTGGTGCTATCTCGCATTTAGGCTAATGCAGCCCTCTGTTCCATCCGCCAGTATCTAGCATAATTTCGTGGCGATGATTCGACATGCCAACTACCGGCAGGGAGGGGGCTCTCGGTCTTGCTCCGCACACACTTCGGATTGGTTGGCCGACGTCGGCGGAGTGGCGGGCCATTCAAGCACGCAAAGATAAAGCTAGGATTGAGCTTTGGTGGGCCAGGATAAGACGCGTTGAACAGTGCACGCGGGGGGAGATTTTGTGTTTGTCGGTCCCATAGGGTAACCGGGCGGTCGCTACCGCTCGATAACCACCGCGTGGACCTTCCTGCCTATCGGTGGGTAAGACAAGCCCGACATCTGATGATTCATTGCCCTAGTCGTCGCCATTGTAGTACTGTAGTATAAAGGCCACGTCTCGTATATCCTTCATAGGATCCTCTTATCCCGTCAACGAGTTGCTTCACTTGGAAAGCTGTGCAGGTCAAGAGCCATCCAATTGGTGCGGCATAGCGATCTCTTTTTCAAACCCCTCCAACATCGTTGACCGCGCCCAAAACACATCACAATGGTAATCACTAAGTCTTCCTCCATTTTGATTGTTGGTGCGGGCACCTGGGGCTGCTCTACTGCCCTACACCTGGCTCGCAGAGGCTACACCAATGTGACTGTCCTGGATCTTTACCCTGTCCCCTCCGCTATTTCTGCAGGAAACGACGTCAACAAAGTCATTTCTTCCGGCCAATACAGCAACAGAAAAGATGAGATTGAGGTGAACGAGCTTCTGGGAGAACAAGCGTTCCAAGGATGGAAGAACGACCCTCTCTTCCAGCCCTACTACCACGATGTCGGCCTCCTCATGTCGGCGTGCACATCAGCTGGCCTGGACCGCCTTGGTGTCCGAGTAAGGCCCGAAGCCGACCCGAACTTGGTGGAGATGTCGCGGCCAGAACAATTCCGTGATCTTGCTCCTGCTGTGCTCAAGGGAGATTTCCCGGGGTGGAAGGGTTACTTTCTTCGCTCCGGTGCCGGCTGGGCTCATGCCCGGAATGCTCTCGTCGCTGCCGCCAGGGCAGCACAGAGACTTGGTGTCAAGTTCGTTGCTGGTTCTCCGGCAGGCAGAGTCATCACCCTTATTTTCGAGAACAATGATGTGAAGGGTGCCGTTACTGCTGATGGCAAAATCTGGCGTGCGGAGCAGACGATCCTGTGTGCGGGTGCAAGTGCCGGGCAGTTCTTGGACTTCAAGGACCAGCTGCGCCCAACTGCTTGGACGCTTGTACATATCGCTCTGAAGCCTGAGGAGCGCGCACAATACAAGAACATGCCCGTCATCTTCAATATTGAAAAGGGCTTCTTCTTTGAGCCGGATGAGGAGCGCGGGGAGATCAAGATCTGCGATGAGCATCCGGGATACACAAACATGGTTCGATCACAAGATGGGAAGCTGCAAAGTCTTCCCTTCGAGAAGACACAAGTGCCCCTGGAATCCGAGAAGAGGGTTCGCGCGCTTCTCAGAGAAACTGTGCCTCAATTGGCAGACCGTCCGTTCAGCTTTGCGAGAATCTGCTGGTGCGCAGACACCGCTAACCGCGAATTCATCATTGACCGTCACCCACAGCACAAATCACTGATTCTGGGATGTGGCGCTTCTGGCAGAGGTAAGACGCCACGCCATAGCCCCAAACAAGATGCGTTTCCGTTACTAACACGCACCAATAATAGGCTACAAATACCTACCGTCCATCGGGAGTCTGATTGTCGATGCCATGGAGGGTAAAGTTCCTCAGAAGGTCCACGATCTCATCAAATGGAGCCCAGAGATTGCTTCGAATAGAAACTGGAGCGACACTCTGGGACGATTTGGAGGCCCCAATAAGGTGATGGACTTCCACGATGTCAAGGAATGGACCAGTGTACAGCATAGGGACATTTCCAAATTGTAAGAATAGGTATGAGTAATGAATATCCAAAATTGACAACATTGAGCGCACAATACAATAAAATCTCTACTATAAAGACGAGCGTCCAAAGTAACGGTACATCAACAACACAAAAATCTAGGGTATCACAGAAAGAAACAGGATGGTGAAAATGTGGCAAATAACATCTACCTCTAGGAGGATGTAGATTCTGCAAGTTGATATGACTCCCGAGCATCCCACTGACGCGCAACAGATGCAGAGCCCGGAAGCTGCTGTTCCTCATCACCAGGCAGTTTGGAGAATCTATCTGGTCCGGTGATATCGTCTCTCCCATATGGGCAGTCGCAGGTTACTGACCGAAGGGCTGGATAATAGCGTCGGTACGAGAAATAGGCTACCATCAACCCAAGTAGCGATCCACAAGTAACATCATATACATCGTGGCGGTAGTCGTCCAGGCGAGAGATAGCAACTAACAAAGCGCAAAGAAGCGGAGCAAAGGCCACGAGGCAGCGACAGAGGTCGGTCCTCGGTCTGAACACGTGCATTTGACCGGAAAGGAACCTGGGTAAACGATTAGTGTTATTCTATGGGTTGTCGCGGCATACAAGCTTACAGTGACAGATAACCGAGCCCACCAAATGAGAAGCTACTGTGGCCACTGGGGAAACTCCTCCATCCTTCTTGGAGGATGTGCTCGTTGGTTTGAGTACACACCGTCCATGAGACCAGCAAGTCCTTTGGGGTCCCTTTCCTTGGTAGACAGCGAGAAATTAGATCAGGGCGAGGTCGTCCAGCGGCGTTCTTGATAATGTCGGTAATAAGGCTCGTTAGCATAAGCGCGATGAGGAAGCCCAGCAAGGTCACTTGGACCTTGTGAGGATAGGGACGGAACACGGCCGCCCAGGCGAGGAGAACGAGGAACGGAATGACTCCAGCATAAATGATAGACCAAACTGTAAACCGATAGTAAGCATCGAGGAAAAGTCGACGTCGACAGAGCAGGGTGCAGTATCTCACCGACTGGAACCCTCTCCACAACAGCGAAGGGATATTGGATACTTTTACTATCGAGGGAGAACATGCGATGAAATGGGGTCGCAAATATCTGAATCTGCATGAAAAATTCTGATTAGTGAATGAACCACACGAGAGGCATGTCTGAAGGCGTACCAGTATCCAAGCAGCTACAATGCACGCCAGCGCGACAGCGTCGACGACCGGGTACGAGCGCTGATACAAACGGGACATTGTGCTAGTTGTTTCTCTCACTGGAGAGCGGGGGCTTGCTGAGCCAGCAGCAAGTCCACTGCGAGGCATTTTGTGGCGCTCAGTTCGTATCTACAGCGCTCATGAGAAACCAGCGAAGAGTCAGCGCCTGGCTGGATAGAGTGGTTGGGAAGTTGCGCAACGAGGGCCGTAGTTAGTGGATGGTGAACAAGAGCAAGTGGCCGCCTGGCATGAGCACGGGCCAACAACACCGGACATCTCCGCATTGCGCCGACTCGACTGTCCACATTCTTTCCTGCATTCACCTCTTGATCTCGTGTCCATCGCGTGCTACCAACTACCCCGACTCGATTATCGCACCATAGCTGTCAATTTCACGAGAATACCATGGCCGACGCCGCACAGCAACGGACGCTCGCGACTGCCTTTGCCCCGCCGCCTCCGCTATGGAAACACTTCACGCCCGATAATCTGAAGAGGCTCGAGGAGGTCAAGAAAGAGGCATCCAAAGGCGAGGATGGAAAACCGCAGAAAAAGAAGTGGTCACCTGCCGAATTGCGCGCTCTCGATCTGCCACCAGAGCTTCGGCTTCTCGTCCCACCAGCGATCCCTGACTCCGGTCATTACAGCGTGTTCGGAGAGCTTCAGAACGTAAGTCTTCGATCATTGCCTTGCTGTAACTCTACTAATGACACATCACCACAGCTTTCAACTGCTTTACCGTCCTTGAAAGATCAAGGCATCACCCAGCTGTACCCTTCCTCGTCTCCGGCAGATACCGACCGTCAATCGCCCTCGGAGCCATCCCGGCCGCTCAACCACGCATACTACCTCCTCAAAATCAGCAAATCTCTCCTTTTAAACTTTCTCGAATTCGTCGGCGTTCTATCAGTATCCCCGGAGCAGTTCGAATCCAAAGTCGAGGACTTGCGCAATCTCTTCATCAACGCACATCACCTCTTGAACTTGTACAGACCACACCAAGCTAGGGAATCCCTGATCATGATGATGGAAGAGCAATTGAGTCGAACCAAGGAAGAAATCCAGCAGATGGACAAATTGAAAGCCGAGATCACGGGTGTTCTAGAACGGTTGGAAGCAGATGGCATCGCCGCGCAGTCACATCCCCAGCAGACCGACGAGGACGGCAAAACGGACTCGGAAACAAGTCAAAAGACCATTGAAGACGCACGATTATTATGGGATCTCCTGGACGGGAAGATTGAGGGTTGAAGGTCGCGAATGCCGATAACTTCATGCTCATCCGGAAACCACCAAAAAGAGACCTATTAGCTTCTGCTACATCACCTGCCAATCTACAGCCAAGTTGCAGATCAGGACCATGTCAGTTCTGGCATAATATGACCGAATTGCGAAATCTACGAGCTTTACGTCTATACCATCGCAACCAAGTCTGGACTGAGATCGCTCAACAAGGACCGGAAATCAAGCCAAATACAGGCAACACAGTCCACAGTGACCAATGCCCAAGCATCCAAACATTACATACGCGCTTCACGGGCACCACAGACCGGAAAGCATCCACTTTTCGATACCCATAAATTCCACACTGCGGTCGGGAACAACATGGTTCCGTTAAGATCACGTGCGGCGCTAACGGCGCGCGTTTAAATTCCCACCAAATTTTCTCCCGCATTTTTCTTCACGCATTCAACAACGAAGATTCGACAATGGCCAAGCTAGTTCTTTGAGGACTGAGCGGTATTGGAAAGCTTAATGATGCTTCACATGCTGCTCAACCTTTAGGTCCAGCTTTTGGCTTAATTGACAATACATTCACAAGAGTATTGGTAAGTCGAGCAATATGTCTCTTACTTTCGCTCATATGATGATTTGCGTATTATCTTTGTTTCAACCCCATCTGAAAGTACAGAATTGTACTCTTTGATTATAACTGCGCATATAATATCTGAAATAAGCTTTATTGCTTTTGTTGCTTTGCTTGCAATCACAAAAGAATGTTTGAACTGTCTTGCTGACTTTGTTCAAGATCTAGGTTTCTACTCTGTTACTATTATGATAGTTCATATCAATATATTATCTTTTGAAACCAAAAATCTTCTCGTAAACAAATGTAAAAGTCCTCTATACAATGTAGCCAATCGCATCCGTTTACCGATAATCCATAACACAATGACCCAATGTTGAATCCCTCCTTGGGCGCCCCCTAACAGTCATCCCTTCCGAAATAATATAACCAAACGCCAAGTCTTCTAGTACCTGTATATACCCTGTAACCCAACAAATAAACCCCAATGTAGACCCATGCTTAACCAGAACGCTCATGCCACGCTTTCTCAATCGCACAACTAGCCAGTCTATACAACTCAGCCACAAAATCCGCAATCATCTTGATATGCACGATTTCATTGACCGAGGACGGTTGGCGCAGGAAAATCCTTTCCAGCATGCTCATTGCCGTTTTGAGTAGGCCGAGATCTTTGGTGGCCTGGGGATCGGAGGGGTTTTGAAGGATATTGCAGAAGATGGCTAGCAGGGCGGACATGGGGTAGAAGATGAGGGTCCTGAATACATCGTTGTTAGTAGAAGGTATTGTTGAAGAGTGGGAGTGGGGGGAAGAGAAACGTACCAGAATATACCGTCAATTAAGACGTGTTCCGATGCTTGAAGGTAGAGTAGTGTTGAACGACTGGCTTCGACGGACAGAGCTAAGCTGGAGTTGACGCCGTGCATGATTCCACCTTCTTCTTTAGACCAGTCTCTGCATCGACCACTGGCTTGGTGGATGATTGTCATGCAGAGATGGTAGTTTAGTCGCAGTATGACGGAATGCATGTTGGCGTTTGGATCGGGGGTCTCTTTTACAAAGGATAATGTAGGCCGCCATGCTAGAGGTATCGACAGTCTCCATTTTTCGAGCTCGTCGTCCAGTTCGCGGATTTCCTTCAGGATCTCGGCGTCCGTTTTCTTCAGACCTTTGAAGGAGTACAGGGCGTTGTAGGCTCGAGCCTTGATTATACTCAGGCGGATGTCCACTGGGAAGACTGGATCTTCGGGCATGTCTTCTGGAGGTATTTGCCGGCAGTCGAGCGGGAATTTGAAGAGATTCTCACTGTAACTGGCGGGTATTGTCAAGTCACAGTTATCTTCCGTAAATAGCTGGGGCTGTCCAGTCCGAAGGGACACATCTTTTTCAATGGTGTAACCAAGCCAGAAGAGATATCGGATTTGTCTCTGTGACCTCATGGCGATCTCGTTTTGCGGCGTCTCCGGGTCATCTGGCATTGAACTAGTAGTGTGTCCGCCCAAGATGAAAACCATGCGTGCTGCAATTGAACCGTAGTAGCTGGCTGACTGTAAGTTGCCGGTTACTAGCTCGAATAGTGCCTATCAATGAAGTAAGCGAATGAGAAAGTATTTCTAGAGACATGGGATGTGTGGTCCTAGAGCAACCAAAATCTAAGGGCACAGAGGCCAAGCGGGCTTAGAGGATTAGGACTCACCATCATTGATATCACTTGTAGCCCCTCCACCGAAGCAGACTCTTGCAAAACCTGAGGCATCAAGCATTGTGCTCTCGTGAAGTAGGTCTCACTGTTAAGAGGGGCAAGCTTTCGGAACTCATGCTCGAATTCAAGAGGTGGTACTAGAGAGGTAAAGGCAGCAAAGGCAAGCACACATGCCTTGGTGCTCACTTTTCCATACGGAAGCCTGGTTCGTGGTTGCTGATAAGCGTTCTCAATAGTCTCCTTGAAAAGGACAGGATCTACAACTGGAAATATACGCCTTACGAAGGACATACAAAACAGCCTGAAGTAAGTGTCTATAACGTTTCGATCAGGCAGCTCGAATAC